TGCTGATGCTCTTAATTCATGTCTGATGCCTACAATTGTAAATTAAACATTGCAGATTTCTGTTTCAGTATGAGAGCAAATACTCAAAATGAACTCAAGGGCCTGTCACACTGTTGAACTCTTCCTCGAGCAAATCTAAATTCACCCACTAGGATTTCCATCACACAGTTAGAGCCATGGATCATGACAAGTGGGAGTAGTTGACCCAGACATCTGTGACCACAAATGAGTGTGACATGAATGAACAGAAAGCTATCAGCATTACAGATTGCAGAGAAGTTGGACTCAATAAGATGAAGCTTGCAGCTGAAGTTTCTATGAAGTTGGGCGGTATGTTTTCAACTAACTTACCAGAATCCACAAGATGACACATTTGCCAAGAACAACATAAGCTTTTGCACATACTTTTTACCAGTGCATCTTGTGGTCAGGTAAAGTTAAAAAGTGCCTGCTTTTTTCCAACAGCTGGCTGCTTGCAGTTTTCGAACTCACATGAAGCAGGAAGTAGATCCCTCACTTTCCAGTGCAACTTAGGGTCAAACTTTATCATTGCTTACAGGGAAATTTGAAATAAGTGAGCAATTTTCCTCATCTGCACAGGTGTGGTGTGCAGGTAACGCGCACTACCACCTTGTTCAAAAAATTCACTCATGGGATGTGGGTCTCACTGGCTGGGCCAGTATTTATTGCCGGTCCCTAGCTGACCTTGGAAAAAGTGGCAGTGAACTGCCTTCTTGAATCACGGCAGTCCATGTGATGTAGGTAGGCCCACAATGCCCCGGGGAGGGAATTCAATGATCTTGACCTTGACTTGGAGGGGAACTTTCAGGTGGTGGTGTTCCCATATATATGCTGCCCCTACCCTTCGAGATGGAAGTGGTCATGGGTTTGGAAGGTTGTCTAAGGATCAATGGTGAATTTCTGTAGTGCATCTTACTGATGGTACATGCTGCAGTTACTGAGTGTCAGTGGTGGAGGAAGTTAATGCTCATGATCACAGATTCCCTACAGTGTGGAAGCAAGCCATTCAGCCCATCGGGACTGCACCAACCCTGTGAAGAGCATCCCACCCAGATCCATCTCCTCCTAACCTTATTCCCCATAATCCTGCATTTCCTATGACTAAAGCACGTAACCTACTCATCCCTGGGCACTATGAGCAATTTAGCATGGCCAATCCACCTTATCTGCACATCTTTCAACTGTGGGAGAAAACCCACACAGATACAAACAGAACGTGCAAACTCTACACAAACTGTCGCCTAAGGGTGAAATCTAATCACTGAGCCACCAATGCCATCCTAAAGGAACTATGTACAGGCCTCTTAGCAGTAGCCAGGATATGAGGCAGAAAATAAATCAGGAGATGGAAAAAGCATGCAAGAAAAGCTCTTTTACAATAATTGTGGAGAATTTAATTATGCAGGTGGACTGGGAAAATCAGGTTGGTAGAGGATGCCAAGCAAAGAAATTTGTGCAAAGTCCATGAGATGAATTTTTGGAACAGCTTGTAGTACAGCCAATAGGGAACAAGCAATTCTAGATTTGGTGATGTGTAATGAGGTAGACTTGATTAGGGAGCTTAAGCTGGAGGAATCCCTAGGGGGAGTGATCATAATACGACAGAATTCACCCTGCACCTCGAGAGGCAGAAGCTTGAATAAGATGTAATGGTATTACAATTAAGTAAAGGTAACTACAAAGACAAGAGGGAGGAGCTGGCCAGAGTTGATCGGAAAGGGAAACCCAGCAGGGAAGAAATGGAGCCGCAAAAGCAGGGGTTTCTGGAATAATTCAGGAGGCATAGCAGAAATTCATTCCAAGGAAGAAGAAATCTACTAAGGAGAGGATGAGGCAACCATGTCTGATAAGGGAAATCAGAGACAACATAAAAACAAAAGGCAGACAACGTTACAAAGATCAGTGGGAAGCCAGAGAACTGGGAAGCTTTTAAAAACCAGTGGACAACACAAAAAAGCAATGAGAGGGGGGGGGAAAGAAGATGAAATGTCAGGGTAAGCTAATTAGCAATATGAAAGAAGACTGCATAAGGTTTTTTTTTCAAAGATATATAAAAGGCAATAGAGAGGCAAGAGTGAACATTGCACTGCTGGAAACCGAGGCTAGAGAAGTAATAAGAGAGAGCAAAGAAATGGCAGAGGAACTGAATAGGTACTTTGCATCACCTGATGAAGGAGCAGCGCTCCGAAAGCTTGTGATTTCAAATAAATCTGTTTGACTCTAACCTGGTGTCATATGACTTCTGACCTTGAGCACCCTAGTACAACACCAGCACCTCCACATCATGCACCAGTGTTCACAGTACATGGTACTAATCAGGTAGACTGCTTTGACTAGGTTCGTGTCAAATTTTACATCTCATCTCTTACATGGGAGCTTATTAAAAGTCTTCTAAGGATCCAAGTAAACCACACCCACTGGCTCCTGCTTGTCAACTCTACTAGCTGTATCCTTGAAAAATGTCAGATTTGTCAAGCATATTTCCCGTTTATAAATCCTTGCTGACTCTATCCAATCTTGTCACTGTTTTCCAAGTGCTCTGCTGTTACATCTTTTATAATGGACTTAAGCATTTTTCCCCAATTCCAGGCTGACTGATCTATAATGCCCTGCTTTTTCTCTCTACCTCCTTTTTTAAAATATTGGGGTTACATTAGTAAATTCTATTCTAACTCTACAAAATAGTAATAGCCATTCATTCGTTAATTTCTCAGGGTGATACCCTGACCAATCAGAATCAATGTGCCTATTTTGAAATCTAAACAAAACCTGGCAGAAAACAGTCAATCAATATTAACTACTGCATTCTTCATGGCACTGCTTCCACCAGTGTACTTACAAGCAATCAGTACTCGCCTCTCATACAGTATCAATATTGGCTTTCTTCTTTATTAGCATTCTTGCCAACTGTCCTGATGAGTGCAAGATGTAAAGCTCTGCCAAAATATCTTTTGTCAGCAGTGAAATATATTGGCCCTCAGCTTAGAAAAACTTCCCTTGGAAAGCAAGTCTGTATGCTAAATATCCTAGGGAATACCTACTTAAATTTAAGGAAAATGTGAAAAACTGGAAACTATGGAATTGTTTGGACACTTTCAGGATTTAATGTGCTGCTTATAGAAAGTGACTTTGCAGTAAAGACAAGCAAAGTTTAGGAGACAAGAGATGAGGTTTATTGTCCTTAATTGCTGGAAAATCCGAGTTTGAAGAGAATAAGCAGGTACTGCTCGTTGTCTAGCAACTCTTTCTAGAATTGGTTTCCTGTATTCACAGACATAGGTGGTAAGGAAGAAACACCAGGAGCTGCAAGTCTCCTCCTCTCCAGAGAAGTTCTTGGGATCCTGACAAATTTTCTAAGTATCAGTGTTTGAAACTTGTAAATCCTGAAAAGCTGAATTGTGGTCACTTATCAAAGACTTAGATTCAGCTTGATTTCAATCTGGACAGTAGGTCTTTCATCTGTCTAAGGCTATCAGAAACTCAACCTCATTGATAAGACACCTGGTAGACTCTAGGTCATCATCAAATTTTATTTGTTTTCAGGCCTTTGGTCAACAGATACGGGGTTGCCTTTTGTTTTTCAACAAAATCTTCTCTCTGCCTTTTGTGTTGTGACTCAGTGGCCGTGTTTAGGATTAATGCAATTTAGTTCAACTTCTGGATTCAAACTTAGATGTTGACTGGTGTTTGCGACATGTTTTAAGAACAGCTTTTGTCTGGTAATACAGAAGTTATATTGCTAAAAGGAGGTAAGAAGAGAACGTTTAATGGGGCATGTTGTATGATACAGTCCACAGTCGGTGAGACCCGTGGCCTACATATCTGGCATTATGCCAGCACTGAAATTCATATCACATTACTCATTTGTGTGAACATGTGCAGTGGGCAGCATGCCAATAGTGTCAGATAGCCCATGCTTTCAAGCATCAGAACAGTATGTCCAGCAGTAGATATGATTCCACTATTAGAAAATGTATTAATAATCTGCACTGTGCTAAGAATTACACTGGAAACTAATTTAGGATCATCAGTTGGGCTTGCAGTATGATACATTTGTGCCGCTCAAAGCTACATATATTAAATGCATAGGACACTTATGTAGACAAAAGAAAAAGCATTAATGGAGTGTAATGCTCTGTGGTTGCATCAATTCATCAGACTGTATATTCAAGTAAATGCATGCTGTGATAAATCCATAGGCTGCATCAGCCAATGCTGACTACTAAACATTTAATCCCAATACTTGTCACTGTATTGTCATCTCTCTACTTGGATGTAATAGTTGCATTAAATGTCTAAGATGAATGTAACCATTCATAATGAAATAACTATGAAGGTATTATATTTCATGGCACTATGGCGAGATACTCCAATTTGACTGGATGTGAGAAATCTATCTAGCAGTGACATTTTACAAAATTGTATTTTTCATAGCCTTTAAAAAAATTGAGACAATTTCTAATCAGATAAGATGTATAGACAGTTATTCATTGTGATTATAAATTTCCAAAAGATTTCATTGCTCAGTATACCAGATAGACGGCTATGGTTTAAGAGGCTGCTCACCACTACCTTCTCAGGGGTAATTAGGGTTGGGTAATAAATATTGACCTAGCCAATAACACCCATGTCCCATGAATGAATAAAAGATGGGTAATTCATTATTTTGTTAGCTGGCAATGCAAAACTAATGTAATTTAATCATTAAAATTATAACTAAGTGAATAACAATCTAAAACAATATCAATGCTAATGTGACATGGATAGTAATAACAAAGGGGTAATAATATGAACCAATGGCTGTCGTCTAATTAACAATAATAAAGGGTGACACACAGGGGAATGGCTAATAAAATGCATTGTGCTTGATCAACATCACTCAGTTATAAATAATAAATAACTATCAGGGTAGTGAGAAGGGGAGACACTGGCATTTGGAACTGGCATGGAATGCAAATTAAATTGACAGACTGTAGTACCTCTTCCTCACTGTGCTTGATGATAGGCAAATAGAAGAACTGACTGCCGTGCTCCTTTGGTAAGATGGAGTTCACACCAGGTGCATGTGGACCAGTGAGCTGTTCATTTGTGCGGAGATCATCAGCTAAAGGAATGACAAAAAAACGCAAATAAAATGGCTCTATCAAAAGATGCAAGATTCTCTACTTTAAACTGTTACTTGAAGCTTGTTGTTAAACTATCAATTGCAAAAAATTTAAACATTGTAATAGTGCTTATTAGCTCTCTTGCTGGGAATAGAGACAGTGTTGTAGAATAAGCATTTGATCACCATCACTCCTTACTAATATAATTGAACAATAATTCAGAAAGGTCCATATTTACAAACTTTATTTTGAAGCAATTTGGAAAGATTTCATGAGCAAAACTCATCAAATTATTTGGTTGCCACTTAGAACTAATTCAAAGGCCACAGAACTTTCCTGATAGCTCATGGGCATTGCCCAAACTACTCTAATTTCAAATGGCCGATGTGGTATTAAGCACTCTCTCATAAGATATCAAAGACTAAGGCATTCAATTCAAACACTTGTGAAATGGCATCAGCATTTCCACTTCAGTTTTGTTGCAACACCACGATAAAATAAAATTTACAGAAAAAATAATGTTACGATAGGTATCTGTAGGAATGTTTCCCGATAAAGGAGAAAAGCATCACGTTTCAATGGTGATTATTCGTTGTTACCTTCGGGTTGTGAAGTGTAGCTCACAATGAGGCAAACACATTTCTCTTCATTGGTTTTACCAAAGCAATGGATTTGATTTTCTAAAGTTAATTGACTTGTCTCATTTCATTATGGCTAAACTCAACTGGACAGAAGACCTAACAAAGCATTATTGATTAGTTCAGATGTCTAAAAATCCAAAATTTGCAATCTGACTTTTTAATTCTTATTCCATTCTTTCTGTCAGTTGTCGATATTGTCTAATGATATTTACACAAGTCATCACAGAAACTACCTTCTCTAAATACGGTACATGAGAAACCGATGAGCAAAAGTAAAAGTCTTATGTATTGAACCTTAGATTAGATATGGTTGAATTGTTTTTACTGTACTTACTGTAGCTCAAGTTGGAGGAGATGCAGGTGAAGCTCTCTCTGCCTTGGAATGACAGTTTAGGGCCCTAAATGGAGGTGGTCTGTGGGCAGGTGTTGCATTTTTTACGCTTACAGGGGAAGGTACTGGGCGGGTTGGAGTGGTTGGTGGGGAGTGTGGTGCAAACTAAGGAGTGGCGAAGGGAATGGTCAAATGATTCAAGCCCATTAAGGCTCTCACTAACTTTTACAGATGCACCATATAAAGCATTCTACCCGGATGCATAACGACCTGATACGGCAACTGCTCTGCTCAGGACCAGAAGAAACTGCAGAAAGTTGCGTGCACAGCCCAGACCATCACACAATCCAGCCTCCCATATATGGATTCCATTTACATTTCTCATTGCCACTGAAAGGCAGCCATCATCATAGATCCATCTCACCCGAGTAATGCTCTCTTCAGTCAGGCAGAAGATATAGAAGCTTCAACAGATGCACCTGCAGATTCAAGAACAGCTTCTTCCCTGTTGGTATTAGACTGCTGAATGGGCCTCTCTAACTTCAAATAATGTTGATCTTGCTTTGTGCACCTCCTGTGTGGCTGTAACTTCGTATGCCTCACTCTAAGCACCCTATGATCTGTATGTCCTTGTTTGCTATGATCGGCTTGTACACCTCACAAAACAAAGTCCTTCACTGTACATAGGTACATATGACTACAATAAATCAAATCAAGTACAGGAGCAGGATTGTTTTGCTGCCAAAGTACAGGGCCTGATGACAGCACACCTGGAGTATGGTGTGCAATTTTAGTCTCCTTATCTGAGCAAGGATTTTCTGGCTATGGAAGGAGTGCAACAAATGTTTACCAGACTGATTCCTAAGAAGACAGGACTGATGCATGAAGGCAGACTGGATTGGTTAGGACTATATTAACTGAAGTTCAGAAGAATAAAGGGGGTTCTCACAGAAACTGATAGAATTCTAACAAGACTAAATGCAGGAAGGATGTTCTCGATGACTGGGGAGTGCAGATCCAAACACCACAGTGTAAGGATAGAGAGTAGGTCATTTACGACTGATGAGAAGAAAGCAGAAACTGAATACGGAGTTGGATGATCAGCCATGATCCTATTGAATAGCATAGCTGGCTTGAAGGACCAAATGGCCAACTCCTGTTCGTATTTCTATGCTCCTACGACTACGAGGAGCTGGCAGGAGGGACCCAATGGCGTGTCTCTCCTCCCTCATTCACGGGAAAATGCTGGATTTCTAAACAGCACCTCTGTACAGCACACTGATCAGATTTGATTTGTTGGTTGGGGGGGGTGGTGAGTCTTTGATGAGGTTGGCAGTCTTTGATGAGGTTGGCAGCTTTTCCACAGCAACAAGAAGTGTAAATGGAGTCCATGGATAGGAGGATGGTCTGGGCTGTGCACACAACTTTCTGTAGTTTCTTCCAATCCTGGGCAGAGCAGTTGCTGGACCAGGCCATTATGTGCTTGGACAGCATGCTTTCTACAGTATACCTGTAAACGTTGGTGAGGACCCTTTTGGACATGCCAAATTTCCTTAGTCGTCTGAGGAAGAAGAGGCATTCTTGTGCCTTCTTGACCGTCGCATCAATGTGCAAGTCCAGGACAGGTTGTCGGATATCGTCTTTCCCAGGAACTTGACACTCTCGACCCTTTCCACCTCTGTTCCGTTTACGTAGATACAGGCATGTCCTCATTCGTTCTTCCTGATGTCAATGATCAGTTGGTTTGCTTTGCCAACATTGAGACAGAGGTTGTTATCCTTGCACCACAACACCAAGCCCTCTATCTCCTTTCTGTCTTCTCACTCATCATTGTTTGATATCTGCCCTATCACAGTGGTGTCATCAGCAAACTTGGACATGGGGACCAAATTGGAATTTGGCTACACAATTGTGCGCGCACAGGTAGTACAGTAGGGGGCTGAGAACACATCCCTGGGGGGCTCCAATGTTGAAGTTTACCGTGGAGGAGGTGCAGTTGTCAATCTTCACTGATTGCGCTCTGTGGGTCAGGAAGCTGAGGATCCAGTTGCAGACGGTGGAGCCGTGACCTAGGTCTCGGGTTGAGTGAGTATATCCAAAATGGAAATCAGCACAGCTCATAGCTTGTTAATCCGTCTTTGTCACACCTAATTTATGTTTTATTTCCCTGTTCAATAGTCTTATTTTTTAATCAACCTGTGACACAAAACAATTATATACTTATGAATTATTTACATTAGCTCACCATTTAAGTCAAGGAAGAGTACAGGGATATGGGTTTCCATTCCTGGTGGTGATATCCTGAAAGAAACATGTATTTAGAGCCAAAAGAATGAATCACAAAAAGCTAACGTGCAGGTAAAGCAAGTGATTAGAAAGGCAAAATGAACTTCGGCCTTTATTGCACATGGAATGTGTATAAAAGTAGGGAAGAGTTGCTACAGCTGTACAGAGCCATAGAGAGACCACATTTGGAGCACTATGAACAGTTCTGACTAAATGAGGACCATAACTGCATTGAAAGTAGTTCAGAGAAGATTCACTCGGCTGATTTTGTCTTGTAGAAAGATTAAGCAGGTTAGGCCTATACACTTTAGGGTTTAAAAGATTTCAGGAAACAGGATGGATGCTCAGAGGATGTTTTATGGGCGAGACTCAAACTTTTGCGCACAGTTCAAAAATTAGGTATCGCCTATATTAGAAGGAAATAAAGAGCAATTTCTTCTCTCAGAGGGTCCCTAGAGCTTAGGATTTTGTTCCCCAGAAAGCAATGGAAGCTTGGTTATTGTATCTCAACTTTGAATAGATTCTAAGAGATTTTGATTTACAAGAGTCAAGGATTATCTGAGGCAGGCAGGCAACTGGAATTAAAACCTCAATCCTATTAAGCACCAGAGCAAGTTAAGGGACTGTATGATCTGCTCCCACATCTTTTTTTTTTTAAATGATCTTAAGATCAGTTTTCACTACCTGCTCTCCCTGATTCATCTACTAATCCAGTCATCATGGGGAGAATTCCAAACAGAAGTTCACACCATCCCATTCCTACGCTACTATTGTCAACTATTAACTGAGAGAGTAGGCCACTGAATACTTAATCTTCGAAGTGGCAAAATATGGGTTTGCATTTAATTAACCACGTACTGGACTTCCAGTCTCACCCAAGTCACTGGGAGAGGAGCTCAGAGACAGCCAGGTCCGGCTTCACACTAAGGCTAAAGAAGAGTTTTAAATTATGAATAATAATTCACTCAATGAACTGTGCAGAGTAGTGGGTAGAGTCTACACTCTAATAGAAAAATTGTGTGCAGGGAAGGGAGACAAGAGTTTGGTGGCAAACGAAAAAAAATTTAACATGCAGAAGTCTTAACCAGCTAAGTCATTCACTGTTGGATAGAAAAAGGGTGCATCTGTAACACTCATAACAACTTTAAAGCAGACGTGTCACAATAGTTTTGAGGCCGTAGTTTTACTAACCAGTCTGCAGGGGCTCCCGGAATCCCACTGCCTGGAGCAGGAACAAGCACAGCATTTCTTTCCTCAGTGAGGCCCACCCACTGCTCCACTAGCCTGGCTTCCCTCTCCATATCATCTTCTGTTTTCTCTACATGGAAGAGAACAAGATGACATTAACCTAACACAAATAAAAGCAGTTCCAGAAAAGTCTGCAGTGCTCTCTGATAACTTACTTTTACCACTGTTTTATGGCGCTGACATATTATTGTTGTGGCATCCAACAGCCACGACACCTGCATGCAATAAGTGTTGTTCACATTATTTACAATGACTGAAGTACACACCTTGCTTGTTGATTACTTTCTGAATTTGCTCATCTAAGTATTCCCGACGCTTCATCAATGCATCAGACCATCTTTCTCGTACTTCATTCAAATCTTCCTCCTGACCAATTACAAGGAGAAAGGTATGAGATATTGCTTACTGGTGTGTGTTTTCACACTCTGAAAATGGATTGTGCAGTGCCACTGAACAGTTCTACAAGTTACAGAAAGCTTGAAAATTACCAGTAGTTAGTTGCAACTTCCCCATTTTGCTGTCCAGATAAATAATTTATTTCCGGAGTGCAGGATGAACTGAATACTGAGCTGACCAAATATACAATCATGTACCCAATTTACATCTGTGGTGTTTCTTGTGCTTCCTTTAATATAACTCTCCCATTATTTGAATGGAGTCAATACGTTTCTATACATCAAACATTGAAACTAATTTTTTTTGCTGTTGTTTCCTCATCTTCCAAATGATTTAACTCATGCTGCACTGAGAGAGAATTTTTGGCTCTTTCAGCTTCTTCCACAACATATCCTCCTGATAATTCAAAAATGCACATTCTAGTAGGGGTTAATGTTGGTGGGAACTGTCCAATTTTTGTTCCTTTCCTCCCTAAATCAATAGCCCGAAGTCATGGTCACTGAAAATATTGTAGGTTGGGTACTGAATTGGGGTAACTCCCATCTAGTGTGGTTCAGGTCCTCATTGGGCCATGCATTTGTCAATAAGGAATTGGGGAAAATCCTGCTTTAAAAAAACCAAATATAAATTTTTCACGTCAAATTTTCAAACAAACGAAACCATAATAATTGTAAAACTGTACAGTCGCACTTCATGGACGAAAATATTTGCTGTTGTTTGACCTTTAGCGCACCTGTACATTTGACACCAGAAAGTTTCAGTTGAGGTTTGCAAGTCTTTGTAATGATTAAGAAACAGATGAGGCCCTTCATATGACAATTCTTTTGTTTTCAAATACCCCATGCAGTGGTTACATGCATTCATGCTATAAGCATGGAATTTACAGTAAAACAGCAGTTTAATATTCAAAATTACTGTGCCAAGCAGACAGGAAGCTCCTCAAAATGTTAGTAATTGCAGGAATCGAAATACTTAACATCCACCATTCACAGAAACTGTATCTTCCATTTTTAAGTATTGTTCTAAAGAAAACTGGAGATTATGGTATCTTATAAATATGATGAGAAGAAATAAAATCAATATTTGTGCCCATTTTTGTGATCAAACGAATCCAATTTTTAAAAAATTCACAAGTAGTACGAAAATATGTTTTACTGACACAAAGTAAATGTTAATTATGGGAATGTATCAAACATGGATAAGCCATTATTTAGAAAGTAACATTCTTTGATTAGTTAAAAGCAGAAGAGCCATCAATTGTTTTAATTTTCATATTTAATTGAAATTTTTGCTGCAGCTTAAAAAAGTATATTTTTTTCCGCTGTTAATTACTTTTTTTCCCCAAAATAGTATTTCGAAACCTGCTTTAGTATAGGTGAAATGGAGATGGAGCATATCATTTTCCTAGCTGCACTTTTTAAAAACAAACTTTTTAAAAATTGCTTCATTTAAACATGAAAATAAATTAGACAACTCTAAGTTCTAACTATAAATACCTACTAGCAACATTTTCAATCTTTCAGAACACAATTTTAGTAAAGAGCAAGATCAAAGGTTTTACGATCACAATTATTTTATTGTTTTCACTTTTAGTTTTCAAGTCTCATAAAATAGTGGTTAACCTGCTGGAAATGCATTTGTACATTAAACAAAGTAATTGAGTGTCTGCTTTTAGATATATTTAACGATTGGGTTACTTTAGTCAGAGGTGAGCACCCTACTTGTTTTCAGACTTTGTTTCTGTAAAGTTCCTGATTTTTCTAGCGTCTATATGCAAATTTAATAGTTAATTTCTAATTTCAAGGTTGTGATTATGGGTTATCACTTATGCATCAAGCTGACACAGAAAAGATAAGGAATTAACAAAATGAAACATCAATAGCACAAATCTGTGTCTGTTTTCAGAGTAAACTATGAACTAAAACTTGTAACTTGGAGTATTTTTGTCTAAGCATTAGTTCATTGGTCTTGTTACAAAAGACAACTGAACTACATATTAACCGATTGCAAAGTGCCTCGTGCTAATGACTATCTACCTGTTGGGTCTCAAGGTAGGTTTCTTCAAAAAGGTTTTATGTCAACAATTCTTATATTTTTGGGTTCCATTCAAATCTAACCAATACTCAAATTTCTTCCCCTGAATTCCAAAAATAACCATTGTCATTAGATTGCAATGTTACGCCCCCAGCTTTGGATACAGTGACTGTGTGGGCTACTGAGCCACTCTTCAAAGCGTTACATTCCATTTTCAAAATTTGGAGTTGTAACAACCAAAATTACAAGTATGAAACTGTCAGCAACCTCTACCTCCCATGCTTGTATGGTTAAATACAGAATCCACAGTTGTTGTCAGACATTTCCTATTCCTGCTCGCAATATACTTCTGGAGTCCTTGCAGAAATCATTCAACAGACGAGAGTTTCCCCTTTAATTGCAGTGTTATCATTATTTAAATTCTTCTAAAAAAAAAGCCACACTTTAGAAATAAAGTGTAAACATACTTTTAAAGATCAACTATTTCATGTCTTAGAAAACTCATTCTGAAAGACTGCAATGTGAAGAATGTTCCATTATAATTTAAAAAAATCATAATTTAACAAGTCTTACATTTTAAAAGTAACATTTACTCTTCTGAAGTACAGAAGTACTTATTTAGTATTTATTTTGTTCTCTGAAATTTTTTTTCAAAATTTAGTATTACTTTTTGGTTTGCTGTCTCTGATAGTTATTTAATGTCATAAGCTGCTCATCTGCCATTCCTATTCATTTTTGGGGTGCTGGCAAAGCTGGCATTTAATGTCAATCACTAATTAACTTACAGAAGCTGGAAGCAAGCTTGATGCCATCATTGTTGCTGGAAGCCTGCAGGTCCTTTTAGTTTGAAATTGGTGGAAAGCCAACACTGGGGGTGGTGAAATCCACAACTCAAACAGATCACTAGAACTTTGTGCTCAACTTTCCTCCAGGTCAGTGATGATTGCTTTTACTTTGTCGCCAACCACAAAAACATGGCCCATACTCTTGCCTACGTTAAGTTAGTTGGTATCAGACAGAACAACAGTTCGGAAAACATTTTGATTTGTTCAAATTTTATAATTTATTAAGAGGAGGGAAAAAGCCCTGCAGTTCCTCTCCCAACCATTAATCACTGTCCATAGTCCCTGGTTACAGATTCTTATTTTATTGAGCCAAGTAAGTCAGTTGATGGGAACAATACCAATAATCTTTCTTCTGTTGTAATTAATTACATAACTGCAAAAAGAACATATTTAAAATAATGTAACAACAATGTCAATTTCAACAAATTTCAACATTTCTTGGGCATAAAACAAAAGTTTCATTAAAAATCTGATACCACAGTCATAAAGAGGAAAGAAATTGGATACAAGGGATTTAATATGCTTTTGTAATTGAATTGAGTGATCTGTGTTGTTCAGGCTTGTTCATTAATGAGTCCATTGCCGAATTTGAGAATCAAATTCTAATCCTTGATAACTACATGACTGTTATTTCAGGTAATGATTCGTAGGGAACAGTACAACTGAAAAATCTGAGCCACCATTGATCTTTGGCAACTGTTACTTTCTAGGTCTTGGTAACTGTGTGACTATAAAAAATTGCTAACAAAACTGATTAATTTTTTAATAAAAACCATTTTAAGAAAACATCTACCAAGTCATAATTGGAAAGGAGGTTTCAACATTTTCTCCCATTTATTTTAAGTATGCAATAGTGCAGCAAACAATTATACATTTGATACAGTAATCTTTCTAAAATCAGTCCAGATTTTGAACATGTGAATTGATGAATTTAGTTAAGAGCCAGATCCATTTTTCAACATACTGAATTAGAGATTAATTTATGTAGGCATAGATTCCACGTAGCCTAACAGTCTAAAGAAATAATAATCTGCTGAGAGAAGATATTACTTGCCACTTTGCATTGTTATGAGGGAAAGTAAATGTTGAAGTACAAGATGTTTGCAGATGCCCTAACAATTTTATGGATGAATGATTTGCACCATGCTAATTTCCTAAAGACGTCTGAAAGAACAATAAAATGGAATTCCAATACCTGACCGGGTTGGACGCTGGGAGAAAACAATATGAAATGTTGTTAAAATTTGAAGCAATGTTCTAAATTGTTCAGGTGACAAGCTGCTATTCACAGCCAAACCTACTGCAAGAAAGCACAGCCTAAATTTCCTATACTTCTATTTGCCATGGAGGTGGAAAATGGAAGTCAAATCTGAATAATACATGTTTCTGCATGTATTTAGACAAAGATTACTCTGGTACATTTGGTTCAACCCAATACTTAGTTGTCACTATTAACCGTCCTCAAAATGCTATATGTATCAAATCCACCATGAGTTAAACTTTCTGATGCTAATGCCTGTACACATCAAGTAAAGATTTGATTTGATTTGATATGGCTTCAAACAACAGTAATAAATGTTAATCCAAGCATGATTAAGAGATAGCACTGGAAAGTTGTGTATGTGACATCTACTTCTCTTGGATAATTACAGTTGGATATTGTTAAAACAAAATGGTTTAGAAAAAACAAAACACAAAAATACACTATGGCTTGTTAAAACCTAAACTTTCCATCTCCATTGCATAATTTGCGAGTCAGTTGCTGATGCTGGCCAATGTTGTGCTTCATGCCATGTAACTTATGATAGCAACGATACCTGATAACTATCCATATCCTCCTCCTCCTCTTTCTGGCAGGAGAAAATAAACTTAGTAAAGACACTGTCATGCAAACATTTCAGAAAAATGTCATTATCACAATGTTTTACACTGTTCATAATAAACGTACATGGTTTTGTGCTTTACCTTCAAATTTACGCATGTCAAAAGGAATAAAAACAAAGATCACACATGTATGCAAAAAATTTATGCTGGCAGTAACTGAAACAGGATATGAATGAGATGCAAATAAATTGAAAACCCTTTAAAAGCTATTAGGCTTCATACAATGTTGTAATGCAGAACACATCACAATTAATCCTCAAAACAAAACAGATCTGCTGAAAAGTGCCTCTCTTTTAAATGAGGATTTGAAAATTCTTAAATTCCACAATATGAATAGAAACAAATCAAAAGCTGAGAAACCATCACCAATTATTGAATAAAAATAAAGATCCAATCCCTCCATTCTATTCTTTGCTAATTGGGCACTGTTTTCTTTACAATTAGCAAAATTCTTTATCAGCTACACCATCCAGCAAGTCCTATTTTTCAAAAATAGCCTACATATGCCATGTAATAATCCCCATTGTTCAAAGCCCAGGTACACCATATAGCAACCCCTATTGTTCAAACACAGCCCATATATAGCATGTAACAAGCCACATTGATTCAACAGGCAGCAGAAACGTCAGACAACAATCATGATTGGTTTCATGTGGGCAAAATACATCATGTAGTAATCCCCTTTAGTCAATCCAACACGGGAAATACAGGAGGGCAATGGGTCAATTTCACCATGAAAACTTTCAAAAAGCCCACAGAAGTTCAATCTTGGGGGCAATCAAAGAAAAATCACTCCATACATGGCAGAGACAGAATATATGAAGGACTGCTCCTCCAATCAGAGGATCTGTCTCTCTCATGCTGGCCATTCCAGCTCCACCAATCACAGGTTCCCTCCCTCCCCCTCTTGCGGCTCCTCCAAACACAGACTAGAGGAGCTGCCAGTTTCAGGAAGAAGGGAACTGGTGGTTGGATGAATTTGAGGTGTTACTCTGGTTGTCCCAGGATCCCATATATGAGAATTTTGTGATACCAAAGCAACTATTCAGTGAAATAATTGACCTTCGGGGCCATGTCTGGGTGCCAACCTTGGTGTACGCAGAGAAATGGGGAGAAGCAGAGCCCAAGCGTCAACATGTGGTTCGGGAGGGGAGGGGGCAGAATTTCAGCTTAGGTGCAGGGATAGATGGGGGTGTGGGGACAGATTTGGCCCAGGGCAAGTTGGATGGCACAGGGCAGTTGTCAACTGACTCTCGAATGACTGCAAAGACACTATTAACTTTATGCATCATGTAACTTTATCAATCACTGACCAAGTCTATTGGGATTTATAAACGCCATTACATTCAACATGTTAGGGGAGAAGGCATTCAAGAGAACATTCTGCAAAAGGGAGACACAATTCGCTAGCTGGGGCTTTAAATATTTATGTATGATAGCCCAGAATAAAAAGAAATAGACAATCTACAAACTATTTACCTAGATGGCAGTGTCTTGCGTTCAATGTTTACAAAGCAGGCTATTTACAAATTATTTCCTTCCTAGTTACAGAAATGATAATTCCTGGAAATCAGTATTAATGTTGCATAATTTTTACATAAGGTATGCATTGAACTATGTATTTTGGTAGATACATAGTTAGTAACGGTCTATGGCATATTTATTTTTAATAAATTAATTTACAAAGTCTTATCTATAGATAAGATTTCAAAATGTACGTAATATTCAGCACTTGAGCTGATTTATTTATTTGAAAACCCTCCAAAAAAAAATCAATGACAATATTCTTATGTAATTTCAAGATTTAATAAAAGAGTTGGTGACACTGAAAAATGAGGCCAGAAACCAAAAACATAGCCTTTAAGATGATCTCAAGATGACGCCTCAAAAAAAAAATTATGTTGACTCCTCATTCAAACACACGCTAGATATATCATATAGGAATCCCCACTGTCCAAACTGAGCCCCAATATCACACGAAGCAATCCTCATTCATTAAACATAGCCTCAGAGATAACATACAGCAATCTTCATTTTTCAAACTCAGCCAGTAATATGATGTAGTGACACTTTTCTCATCCCTAGCAATACTGAACTCAACCACAAAATTTTATGCAGTGACCCATCATTAATCTTAGTTCAGTGTCCTCAGACAGCACTTTTCTCCTTTGATCATAGGTAGACTACGTAAATTTCCCGTGGATTTTCCATGTCTGAAACATGGTTGAGCTATATCATACCACGTCCTCTATTATTTCTAGGCCTGTTAAATTAGATAGTTGACCCAGCTTTATGATGCACTGACTCCTATTTCTCAAAGTTCAATTATGTCATGCAACAATCCACATTATCCTTTGTAAGCTACTCCTGGTTCAGCTGCAAATTATACAATAATTTGCTAACAGCCAAACATCATTTTTTTTAGCCATTTGCTCATTACTCAAACGTAATCTAGTTATGGCAGTGACCCAACAGCAATTGATCAAACAGAACAATGTTCAACTGTTTAGCAATAAACCTCTAATGTACTGCTTTGAATAGCAGCACAATTACAACAAATAGAGCCTTCCTTGCAGACTCATTTTATTAAATGTGCTCATTTTGTTTGGTTGTTTGAGGCACGGGAAGGCACATCATGTTCTATGTGGGAAAATTCAGGATAATTCTCATGTGTGAAAGCTCTTACCAGCTGGAGCAGTTCAATCTCCAGGTTTTGGAGCCTGAGCAGAAGCTGGTGTCATTGTGGTGCATCTGCAGTGATGTGGCCACCCTGCAAATTAACAGTGTGAGGGAAAAAGGGATTATGTGATCACCAGACCGTCAAGGAGAATGGGAAGGTAATGCAGGAGGCACAACTGCATTTTGTTCTTCAATTTATATTCAGTTCTGAATACTGATGAGGGTGATAGTTCCTCTGGGCAGTGCAGACTATACAATTTTGTGTATCAAGGCTGCTCAGCTGTACAGAGATCTAAAAGGAAGATGGGAAAGCAATAGTGATTGAGGATTCTGTAGTTAAGGGAAGCCAGGTGCTTTTACAGCAGTGCAGAATCCAGGCTAGTATGTTGCTTCCTCAGTGTCAGGGATTTTTCGGAGAGGTTGCAGAATACTTTCAGGGACAATGATGAATTGTCCATTGTTGTTATTTAGATCAATAAGAATATCAAATAACAATGGTGAAGAGAGAGATGAAGTCTGCAGGCAGATTTTAACAAGCCAGAAGGGCGAAAAGCAAGCAGGACCTCAAAAGTAGAAATCTCTGGATTACTCCTACTGCCACACATGTGAATATAGAAACTGGGGGAAAGAGCACATGGAGATGGACTGATGGTGCATGTATGAAGACTTCATGTTTCTGGAACACTGGGGCAGGTCTGAGGAAGGTAGAACCTTAAAAGGTTAGATGGTTTGCACTTCAACAAAGCTAGGCAAATGATCTACAGGTGATTTCTTAGAGCTGTTGGAGATATTGTATATTAACTTGGCAGTGAAATGGAAATCAAGATGTAGCTACAGAAAGGAGAAATATGGTGCACATCAGATCGGGCAAATTGGAAAACACAGATAGCAGTGGAGTTAAAAACACTAAAGTAGATAGAGTCAGATTGAGAGGGAATGTAATAAGGTTGAAATTAGTTTAACAAAGTGGGCTACATAGGTTAGTGAGCTGCAGGCACAAACAATCATGTGGGCATATGATAATGTGGTTATAACAAAAGACCTAGGTTTAAAAAAAAGACAAGACTGTGCACTAAGTATTCATGGATAGAAGGTATTTAAATAAGGCAGGGAGGAAAACAAAGGAGGAAAGGCTAAGTATTAAGTAAAGAACATACATTCTTTAATTAATGTGATAAAGGATTCAAATTGGGAAACAACAGAGATACAATTACATTAATGGGTATAATCTATAACCCACCAAATAATGGGAACAATATAGAACAGAAAACACAGGGACCTTACAAAATGGTGTAAAAGCTATACAGTAGTAATGATAAAAGAATTTAGTTTAAATAGAGTTGGATATTAACAGTGTAAAAGACAGAGATGGGAAAGTCTGCCCCCTGCCCCTGATCAAAGGGTGCTCAGGAGAATTTTCCAGTTATGTTTCCAGTTCAATAAGGAATGGGGCAATGCAGGATCAAATTTTAGTGAATAAGATATAATTTTTTCTTTATTCATGGGACATAGGCATCATTAACTGGGCCAGTATTTATTGCCTACCTCTAGTTGCCCTTGAGAAGGTGATGGTGAGTTGCCTTCTTGAACCACTGCAGTCCATGTGCCATAGGTTGACTCACAATGGGACCCACAATGAGTCCCATTAGGGAGGGATTTTGACAGCGACACTGGAGCAATGGTGATAGGTTTCTATTTTGGATGGTGAATGGTTTGGAGGGGATCTTGCAGGTGGTAGTGTTCTCACGATCTATTGACCTCATCCTTCTAGACGGCAGCGATTGTGGGGTTTGGAAGGTGCTCTCTAAAGAGCTTTGGTGAATTTGTGCAGTGTGCAGTGCATCTTGTAGGTAGTACAGACTGCTGCTATTGAACATTGGTGGTAGAAGAAGTGGATGATTGTCAATGTGGTGTGAATTGAGCGGGGTGCATTGTTCTGGATTGTGTCAAGATTGTGCATTGTTGAAGTGGCACTTATCGAGGCAAGTGGGAATTACTCCAACATACTCCTCACTTCAGCCTTGCAGATGGGGGACAGGCTTTGGGGAGTCACAGGGTGAACTGTTTGCTGCAGTACTTCTAGCCTCTGACCTGCTCATTATATATACATGGCTGGTCCAGTTCAGTTTCTGATCAAAGGTTACCTCCAGGATATTAATCGTAGGGGATTCAGTGACGATAACACCATTGACTCTGAAAGGGGCATTGGGTATATCATCTCTTACTGGAGATAGTTATTACCTGGCATTTATATGGCACGCATGTTACTTTGAATGAGTGAAGTGGATCAAGTGTAAGTGGAAGATCATTTAGTGAATTGCGATCATTCATCTATAGCAAAAGATGGGGAGCAATCTAGAGTTAAAAACTCTCAATTGGAGGATAACAAATTTTGGAGAGGGGAAATCTGGTCTTTTTAAATGGGAATCAAAGATTTGCAGACAGAACTATAACAAAACAAATGGATTGCCTTTAAACAGATGGTTCTAATACAGTTATGTACATTCCCATAACGGTGAAAGTCAGGTAGGCAAAGCTACAGCTCTCTGGATGACGAAAGAGATTTTAAGGGACTCTTCTGATGCATTGTTTATGTCCTTATCTCTGAACCAGAAGTTCAAGTCCCACCTGCTCCAATGGTGTGTAATAACATTTCTGAACAGCCCGATTAGAAAGTATCTTCGAGGACAGGAGAAGTTAATTGAAGAAAAACTTCCACTTGAATTTTTCCCCGAAAGGATTTTGGTTTATGGACAGGGAAATTATTTAGAACAGAAAGGTAGAGATCAATATTACTATATTTTAACAGTAAAACAGTTAAAAATCTCAATGTCTTTTCTTGCCTGATTCAATGTATGGAGATCAGTAGATTAAATGATTACCACACACTGTGCATAAAAGGTACATACTTCCTACATCTCTTGCTGGAAATCTTAAATCTGTATGCCCTAGTTCCTGTAGCAGCAGCTAATGGGCAACAGCCTTTAATCGTCTGATTTAAAACTGTCATAATTTTATCAAAACTCCCCTTGATCTCCTGTGCTCGAAGACCCCACTTTCTCCAACTTAATCTTTTAGCTAAAATCCTTCATCCCTGGAACCATTCTGATAAATCTTCCGTGCAGACTTTCAGGGACCTTTGCATCCTTCCACAATTCACTCATTATACCCTATCATCTCAACCGTTATACAGATTCAGAATAACATTACTGCTATTGTACACATTAGCTCTATTTGTGAGGCCCAAGATGGTAAAAATCATACCACATTTCTTGTCACTTCCAAAGAACTTTCCACATAAAACTACATCCCTTTCTCCATGCACACCATCTAGAACACTGCCTTTAAATCAATGTTGCCTCACCCCATTCCTTCTGCCAAAATGCATCACCTTACACACATTATATTCCATCTGCCTCTTCTGCTAGCTTATCTATGCCCTCTTGTAGTTGATTAGTTTGATCCTCACTGTTGGACACACCTTCAAGTTTGATGCAATCAGCAAATTTTGCAATTTTACAGTTTTCCAATATTCTTGTCATTTTTTAATATCTAAAAAGAAACAGTCCCTGTACTGACCCTCAGGGAATATCACTTTCTCCTAGCCTCCAGTCTGGAAAAAAAAAAATCACGAACTCACTGTTTTCTCCCCTTAGTTCAATTTCTTATCTAATCTGACATTGACTGTCTTATTCCATAAGGCACAATTTTGCCAACCAGCCTTTTATGTGGCACTTTGTTGAATGCTTTCTTAAAATCAATATACACAACATCTTTACATTCTCTTCAATCTTCTCTGAAACTTCATAAAACAATTCCATTAGATGAGTCAGCAAAATTTGTCTTTTACAAATCCCTGCTTGCCCTCTTCAATTAATTCAAACCTTTTCATAAGTTTGCAGGTGATAAAGGTATGTGAAGGGATTGGTGGTATTGAGAAAACAGGGAAGCTGCAGAAAGACTTGAACAGGCTAGAAGAGTGAGCAAAGAAGTAGGAAATGGAATACAATATCAGCACGTGAGAGGTTTCGCAGGAAGAATAGAGGTACCTGTACAGACTATTTTCTAAATGGGGAAAGGCTTTGTGATTCTGAAACATAGACAGGCTTGGGAGTCTTAGTTCAGCATTCTCTTAAGATTAATATGCAGGTTCAGTTGGCTGTTAGGAAGGCAAATGCAATGTTAGCATGCATTCTAGGCTTCTTGAAATGTAAGAGCCGAAATTTAGTGCTGAGGCTGTATAAGGCTCTGGTCAGACTGCATTTGGAATACTGTGAGCAGTTTTGGGCCCCATTTGTAAGGATGGATGTGCTGGCACTGGAGGGGGTCCAGTGGAGGTTTACGACAATGATCGCAGTGACAAAGGGCTTATCATAGAGGAGTGGTCAAACACTCTGGATCTATACTGTACAGAGTTTAGAAAGATGAGGGGGGATCTCTTTGAAATTTGCAGAATACCAAGGCCTAGATAGAGTGGAGGTAGAGACAAAGTTTCCATTAGGAAGGATTTTGAGAGATATGGACCGAATACTGAAAACTGGAACTAGATCAAATTAGAATATCTGGTCAGCATGGGCGAGTTGAGGTGAAGGACCTGTTTCTGTGTTGTGCAACTTTATCACTAGTAGGAGCAACTAGGACCGGAGGACACAGCCCCAAGAATGAAGAGATGACTCTTTAGAACTGAGATGAGGTGGAATTTCTTCAGCCAGAGGGTGGTGAATTTGTGGAACTCATTCCTGCACAAGGCTATGGAGGCCAAGTCATTGAGAGTATTTAAGACAGAGATAGGTTCTTGATTGGTAAGGGGATCAGGGGTTAAGGGGAGAAAGCAGGAGAGCAGGGTTGAGAAACATATCAGCCACAATCGATTGGCAGAGCAGGCTTGATGGGCTGAATGGCCTAATTCTGCTCCTATACCTTATGGTGTTATGGTCATGGATTATTATCCGTAATTCTTTTTGTAAAACCAAACCTACCACTGATTCTAAATTGACTAGTCCGTTATTAACTATGAATGTGTCATCACAGTTTTGTGAAAAAAGTGCCACATTCCAATCTTCCAGCACTTCCCCAGTATCTAGGAAAAATTGGAAGGTCATGCTAAAACATTCGACAATCTCCACCGCCAATGTTCTTTTGCAACTAGGGATGCATATCTTCTGGGACCAGGAGATTTACCTACTCTAAGCGTAGCCAACCTTTCCAGTATATCCTGCCCATTAATTTTCACCCACTCATTGGATCTACCATCTCTGCTCTACTGATGTTTTGTTAGCATCCTACTCCTGAGTAAATACTGACAGAAATAATTTATTTAGCATGAAGCAGTTCCACATATCCAAGCAGTAGAATTCAGTACACTACTAAACTTGCATGGAATTTAAAAAAATGCTTCCTTAAATAAATAATTAGCTTTTCAACAATGATTTTCTTACTTTAAATCTTATTCCCAGTGATAAATCCCTCAAAAGTTTGGTAAAAGATGAAGCAAATTGCTGAGCGTATTCCCTTTCCTACTCAAAATTTCAGACCAATACAAACTTTATGAAAATTTTCAAAATTCTTGAATTTGCTTCAGAATTGTAACATGTTCTCAGCAAGGTGACTGGTGTTTTGCAATTGCCCTTAAAAACAGGTCTATGCATGTCCCTTACCTGGTAACTATCCAAAGGTCTCTGTAGTTTAATGGACCTGGCTGTAATGCATCCTATGGAGACAGACAAAACTGCTTCCACCATAAGTGGCAATGTCCCAGAGTGCTGAACAGGTTTAACTGTAACTTCAATCCGACGAGACTGACCCTGAACATGAAGACACCAAACGAGTTAGGCTTAAAAATTAAATAAGAAATATAATACATTAGTGAAAGTACACAATATATTCATGACTAAAGTTGTTAACATAACAATGCTACTTCACTGTACAGTTCTACAGACATTTAAATGGAAAGCAAGAAACTAAACACGGAAAATTCAAAGTATAAAACTTTATCATTCATTTGGCACCTTTAAAGTGGGGGAACAAACTAAACTTGTTTCACGGGGTTAAATATCACACAAAACTGGATGCCAATCATCCGAAATTTTAACCATACTTGAACACGATCATGAAATGATGGAAAAGCAGAAAATGCAAGGTCTCCGGGATAGCCATCATTAACTTGAGCCAAGCAGATTTGACATTTTTTCTTTTCTGGAGGTGCAATGTTATCTTTCACAGTCTATATCAGCTGGATGTAATACAACCTTTCCTCAACTACCAATATTTTCAGGTACCTGTCGAATCTGGAAGACACCCCCAGTATTGACATCCTTGGCTTGAGTCAGTTCCACTGCTGTGTACTCTCCCATTTCGTTTAATTCTTGCACCGAGATCCACATCTCGATCCTGCGTGTGACTTCACTCCATCTGTATCAGCAAAAAGTCAACACAGTAACAAATCGACTACAGGGTTTCAAGAAGACAGCTCACCACCACCTTCTCAAGGATAAGAAGGGATGGGCAATAAATGCCAGCCCAGCTAGCAAGGTCCACGTCTAAATGAAAAGAAAATGTTCCAGATATTGCTATCCAACCAATAGACATAAGATAACATAATTTATATACATCACCTGGATCATCACATCCAGTCTGAAAAGCAAAAATAAAAAATGATATTTCCCATGTGTGATTTTGGTCAGAGTTGACAACAAAGATAAAATGTCAAAAACGAGATTAAAAGTTAAGACAAAACTGCTTTACATACATTAGAGATTTTAAAGAACAGAAACACATCCTACACTAACTGGATGAGGTTCAACAAGTCTGCTTCAGTAAATATTGCTAACCAACAGCAGTGCTGTCAAGATTTTGAATGAGAGCATCAGATGCTCCTGTCACTTAATGAGTTGTGGAGAAGTTGAATGGATGACAACACACATCCAAGGGAGAAATACTGGATAACAGAAAAACAAACTAATGGGTGCACCAAGGGGAAAAGCAAAATTATCAGACAGAAATTCAGGGATTTCTTTACTGTTTACAACTGAAAATCCACATCATCTCTGTTGATTTACTGGAGACATAAATAACATTCCAGATGTAAAATAAGAGTCACCCAACACTATCTGGCATACTAAGAATAAAATACCTCGAATTGATATGGGGGTATTTGAGCATCAGCATCACAATATATCAATAACAGAACCAAATAATTAATCAGGATGATATAGGATTTCGAGAATTTTAAGTTATGCACATTGTGTTATCATGTCAAAAAGATGCTCTCTGTACCTGTCACGGAGTGTGCGCGTTTTTGCTTGCAGTGCATCAACTGCCCAGGTAGTTCTACCATTTCCTGCACACCGATGGCCCCAGACTTCAATAGCGAGAGCACCATCAGAAATAAACTCCAGAAACTCCTCCGTAACATGTACTATAAAATCCTGAAAGGACACACCGACATTTACAATAAAGAACATCATTTTTTAAGATGGTTCTTTTAGTGATTTAAGTGATAAAACTGTTACTGTGTCTCTAGGTCACATTCAATATGAAGTAAAGTCATTTAGTTGGCAGCCTGCTCACCTTACTATGGTCAAATGTCACAGTGTACTGAACGGCCTTGTTTTTGATAGATGGCATATCTGGATTGACCATTGGAGGTGCAACTGTTTGGTCAGAGTGATCCCAAAAGATGTACTGACAGAATACAAAGTTTGAGAGATTGAGGGGAAGTCCTGTTGCTTCTATTATTTTTACCTGTTGAGATAAAGTAGGAGCTTGAGAAGCTTCTCACTTAACAGAAACTATTAGACCCTGAATGGCACATTTACAAGAAAATGTTTTATAGAACATTAGAAAGTGTCATAGGAACCCTACAGCGTAGAAGCAAGCCATTTGGCCCATTGAGTCCACACTGAGCCTCCAAAGAGCATCCCACTTAGACCCATCTCTCTACCCTATCCTTATAAAGCTGCATTTGGCTGCCCATGGCTAATTCACCTAGCCTGCATATCTTTGGACTGTGGGACGAAACCGGAGCACCTGGAGGAAACCCATGAAGACACAGGGAGAAGGTGCAAACTCCACACGGACAGTCATCCAAGGGTGGGATCAAACCTGCGTTGGTGGCGCTGTGAGGCAGCAGTCTAACTAATGAGCCACCATGCTGCCTCTGTTTCAGTTTCAGTAATTTTGTTTAACCTGACAAGAAGCAAGTTTCTCATGCATTTGTTTATACAACGGGGATATTTTTTCCCCTTGTAAATGTAACTTTTTGTTAGCACTTTCTAGTATTTATATACATACTTTGAGGGGACGTGCATGTTCATACTTTATGACGTAGCCCAATGGTGAAGAAATAGCCACCATTTATAAACATACTTAACAAATCTCCAATGGCATTGTTTACAGAATCACAGGAAGGGTTACCATGCAGGAGGTAGCCAATCAGCCCATCATATTTGCACCAGCGATGATACGAACATTATGACATTGTACTATGCTCCCGTCTTTTTCCTATTTCCTTGCATATTGCTTCGATTCAAATGGTAATCTACGCCCTCTTGAATATCTCAATTACAGAATTACAAGCAACATTTATTTTCAAATTGGGAATTTCTCATAAACATTTGAGAATTCTCAATTTTTTGTTTAGAAAGAACATATAAATTCTAATACTAGACCTCTTTACTGGTAGGCCTCAGACAGCTGGGGTATAACCGTGCACTCCCAGTGTATTATGGAAATTAAAAGTGTGCATGTGACTATAAGCTGGTAACTTAATAATATTGATATATACACTGGCCATCTTCTGTATTTCTGCAACTGCCCATTTAAAATCACAGATCACATTCAGTTCAGGTCATCCTAATTTTAACTAAGTGTAATCATGTAGCAGGAGGAGGAGGAGGAAGAAGAAGAAAAGGGGTTTAAACATCAAGTAACATATTAGTGTCATATTAACCAAGTAGAAACTTAAACCCTTAAAAAGTAATTTTATTTAAGAATATTATGTGATTAGTGTCATTTCTGTATGTGTTTAGTTGGAAGGATAATCTGTACTAAGAAATCCATGTGTTAAGGCTAATTTTTTTTGAAATCTTTATGCTGGTTTTAATATTTACTGCCATTGGGAAAAAAATTGAGAGCAATAAATTATGCACCTAACAAGACCACCAGATTATTTTCTGTTGGTGACTCAACCTTAACAAAGTTGTCCAATGACCAAAAGCTTTATTCTCACTTACCCTGCAGGTCAGTTTCTTTGCCATTTGCACAATCTCACCATTATTATCCATGACTTCATAGCTTCCACTTGAGTTCTCTGAAGAATCGTCTCCACCATCTGGACGCTCTGGAACCACACCACTAACCCGCATCACTTCCACATGGAGGCGGCCAGCAACCTATGTTTAAGAAACGAGTCCGGAAACTTTAACAATGTTACAGATCTCTTTCAGATTTTATCAGGCCATTTGGGAAATGCGTTTTTTGGTACTTTGACATATTGCAGCTGACATGAAATATAAAAAATATAGCAACATAGAGTCACTTTTATTTTTTACCCAAAGTTCAAAAATACCAAACATTTAACAGTTTCAGTGACGTCAAGGGCCTCACATGCTTTCTTTATGTCAACTCTTACCTCCCCCTGCTGGCTGATGATGGGAACAGCATACTGAAGTTTCACATCATGGTAAAGGCACTCCAAGAAGACATTGGCTACACCAATCAAGTTATGGTTCTCCTGTGCCTCGTAGAAAGGATCTCCATGTTTACTAAGAATCTTATTGTACTGAAATAAGGTAAAATGAGATGATTATATTGTATGTTAGAAAGGAAGGGGTAACACAGACATTTCAGGCAGTATCTATGGGCATCATGTAATGATAACTGTGTTTGTTCTGTATTTTGCTCCTAGATCAATATCCCAACTGCCACTAACGCTCACTACTCATGAGTGAATGAGTTTATCCAGCTAACAGGCCTTTGGGTTTAGCTAAATTTGCTGATCTGAGCAGAAGAAATTTGTGCTGGTCCACAATTTAGACTGTGGCTTGAACAACCTTCTGATTCAATATCCTTCTGATGGATGCCATGTTGCCTTCTGGAAATTCAGAAATATGGACAATTCAGTTCATGGACAAGTCTACAACTAATTGACTGCCAATTTACAACACATTAAACCAACAACATAAAGACAGTGCCCAGACTGTTGGCTGCTAGTTTGCCTTTTTATTTCATATCTACTCCTATAGCTTGCTAAGACTAAAACCTTAGTCATGTGGAAATTCAAGATTAAAAATTCATTTTTCCCCCCCCGCAAAATCTTCTTGGTCATGATGTTCTATATAGAGGCAGTTTGTTGTTGATACCAGTATGAAAATTAGAAATTAGGCTGAAAATATGGAATTTTTCCTCAAAAGTAGTTCTGTACCAAAGTATTTCTTGTACTCACATATTCTACCATGTCTTTTTCCTTCCAATCCTGATAGAGGTCTCTCATATCAATTAATTTGTTTTCCAGCTTCTCAATGGCCCAGACTTGGGTACCTTTTCCCTTGCGTCTCACTTGAATAGCGGGCTCACTCACAATTGCTCCCCTCTATTTTGAGAAACATCAAATTCAAAACTGTTTACAATGTTTAAAATAGTGGGAGTAATAAACTGCAGATTATCAGCATAAACTGCATATTTCATGACTGATCTAACAATTGGCTAAAAAAAATTGGGGAGTGGGAGTGGGGCTGAAATACAACATACACTGAACGCCACAAGTCTAAAACAAAGATAAAAATCTTTGTAAAGAGTCAGTTGGTCCATCAGCATTTATAATGAGAAAATGCAGGTTAACCTTTTGTCTCCAACTCACTCCATCAGTTTTGCATCAGAAACATAAGTGGCCAAAGAGAGACTGTAAGAAGGGAAACATTGACTGCACTGTAGGAGTAAAGCACATCACTAACACATGCAAACATTACAAAAGGATTTCTAAGGTGGAATACCTTCTCATCTATGCCAACGACAAGACTGCATAATGAAAATGTAGAGATAAAATTCAAATAAAACCATTTGCAATTTGCTGACAGGAGAATATCTCTGGAACTGAGGGCAAACTGATGAGAGCAGGAAACAAGAAAAATAGATCAAGCTTGCATTTACACAGCACGCTAAACATCCTCAGAATATCCTAAACAAAAGAATGGCACTGTTGGCCAGGAGACCGGTTTACAAACGCTTCTTCTCTACAACTGAATTATTCACTTTTCAGAATAGCATGGAAAACTAGGAGTGCAGATTGCATCTTTAACATGCAGAAAGATTGAACATAAATAAAAACAACATACGTTGTGTTAGTAAGGAAACACTTGTGGTTTTGCCTCCAATCCCAGGAAAAATGAGAGATTACAACAATTATTGACTAGTCTGATACAAAGCTCAGAAAAGTGAACCTTGTGCTGAAAAAGCTGAAATGATGAAGGTTGAGGGATGGTGGTGGTGGTGGTGATGGTGGTGGTAAGAGTTTAAAAAAATTGTAAATGCTTTGAGGAGATAAATAATGAATGTAAGTACTGATTAGTTGGAAAATCAATAATGAACCAATGCAAACATCGCAAATACCAGTGAAAGGGCAAAGTAGAAAAAGTCAGAACAATTTTATCTTCATATGGCATTACTGGAATATGGAGTGATTTACCTCAGAAGTGGCTACTGAAACAGAGACCATAATGGCAACTAAAACAACTAACAGGCAAGATATACTGAATGACTTCTTTCTATGATATAATTTCTATATGAAGCTTTTTTAATTCATTCACAGGATGAGGGGATCGCTAGCATTTATTGCTCATCCCTAATTGCCCAGAGGGCAGTTGAGTCAACCACATTGCCGTGGGTCTGGAGTCACATGTAGGCCAGACCAAGTAAGGATGGCAGTTTTCCTTCCCTAAAGGACATCAGTGAACGAGACGGGTTTTTCCAACAATCGACAATGGATTCACGGTCATCATTAGATTCTTAATTCCAGATATTTATTGAATTCAAACTCCTCCATCTGTTGTGGCGGGATTCAAACCAGGTCCCCAGAATGTTATCTGGGTCTCTGGATTAACAGTCCAGCAATAATACCACTAGGCCATAGCCTCCCCTTGGAGGCTAATACAGGATCTGGAAACAAGTTAATGGCTGAAGTATTTGAGACCAAAGATTCTATACCTGTAATAAATCCATGAATGGCCAAAGATTACTCTTCTGCTGGAAAGCTGGAGAATACATGCATTTCTGTAATGAATGACCCACTAACAAAATTGCAGGGATGTATTTCTATACTACGGCTTTGTTAGTTTATTCAAATCATCCAAAAGCCACATTACATCATTTATTAACAATACTTAAAAGTATCACGAAGGATAACTTATGTCAACAGTGATTCCAACCATGAGAGTTTGAAAGAAGGGGTTTCCTAAGAGGAGCAGAAGGGGTAATTCCTGACATTATCATATACATTGCTTTCTTATGTTTTGGTTCCAAGATTTTCTCTGGAACATGAACCAACTTTTACTATCTTGGTGGCATTTTTGACACTGAAATGAGCTTTTGACTATATATCGGCGCCAGCTTAGGACTGTCTATTTCCATATCTGTAACATTAGCTGAATCCACCTGTGCTTCAGCTCAACTGCTACTGAAACTTTCATCCATACTTTTATTACCTCTGGGCTTGACCATTCCTGTACTTCTGACCATTCTCCCATGCTCAACTCTCTGGAAATTAAGCTCATTCAAAACAGTGGCAAAGATAAACCAGGGATCTAAATTTGTGCACTTAAGTCTCCTTTTACTAAGACATATTACAAGATGGATGTAATCCAACAGCTAGCATTTCAAGTTGTTCCTATATTTAGGAGCACACGTGCATCTCCACTTAAACGTACACCACCTAAACACAAGCAATATTCAATTACTAGGTAATTAATGCCCATTTGCTGACTTGCATTCCATGACACTCAGTTGAACAAAATCTAGATTTTACAATTCTCATCCTTCCATTCAAAACCCTCTATATGGATGCCTTCTTCCCAATCTCTAGTCTCCTCCAGGACATGTTAACTGGGAGTAACTCACTAAACTTCCAGAATTCTTTTCTTTTCCTCCCTAAAACTTAAATTGTTGACAAAGCTTTTAGCATGTGATCTTGTATATGTATGCTGCTCATGTTCAATTGTTTTATATCAGTCCTGTGAAATATCTTAGGTCATTTTGCCACATTAAAGGAAAGTTACAAGGACAAGTTGTTGTTCTTGTGGAAAGGTAAAGTTGCCACTAATGAGCTGTCCTAGCTTCCTGAGGTGGTGGCAACAGGTCTTCTTGAATCATGTGATAGCTTTACAATTGAGTAGCATTTAGCTCATTCCGAATATGCTAAGAGTAGATTATATGCATGAATTTGACTACCTTCTTGTTAGCACTGAGATTTGCTGCTGGAATTTGCAAAGTGACTTGATAATCTGTCTGCTTATTCATCTCTTCTGCCAGAAAATTTGCTTCTCTCACTAGAGCATTAGCTTTCACGATTTGCTCTCTCAACTTTGACAGACTGTGGCGGAACAGCTGATCTCTGCAACAGGAAGAAAAACAGAAAAAATATGAAGCACATTCCTTCTTTCACACAAACATTTATAGATGATGGAAATGTCTGCAGCTAGCTGTTTTTAATTCACAAATATGTAACTTTTGGAATTATGCAGAAGACTTATTGTGTCTGAGACTACCCATTGCATAATATTTTCACGTTGAAATGCTTGTTGATTAAGTAAAAATGTCTCTCTGCAATATTTAATAAGCCCCAGGCTATTCATTCTGGGATAATTCCTTTTAAAAAATGCATTACAGACCAAAGTTCAACTAGGCAACATACCGAAGTGCTTTTCTTACACAGGGAGGGAATATTGGGCAATAAGTTAACCCTCCATTTTCCAAATATGCTGTTTACCTGCATAAAACCAAGAGTTCCTCAATTCCATTGAACAGATGCACTCTAGCCTTCCCACAAAGTTAACAAAATGAAACACAACCTGAGATACCATTGATAACCTTGCATTCTCAACACATGGGAAGCAACAGTGGAAAATCAGTAACTAGTTCAAGGTTATCACCACCATGATGGAACACGTCACTGAATTCAAAGGATCTGTTTTCATTAATCACAACAGTCGCCCCAGTGAAAAGACTCTGAACGCAGGGCACATGAGGTAAGGTCAAGCATACTAAGTCATGTGCCGATGACCAGTGGTTGCTGCTTTATAAAATATACAGACGTTTAGGAAGGCTATAATGGATATGAAGGAGTCAAAAAGGTAACAGATCCATCAGCAAAGAAAATGGTTCCATAAAAACAAAGGCAAAAGATGTGATCACTGTCAAATAAACAGATGGAAGGATGACTGGAGTAATACTTTGAGTTGTATTCTGTGGAGAACAGTGTCACTGAAGAAGTTCTAGATAGGATAGAAAGCCGGTCATAACAACTGGATACAGAACTCAGGGGAAGAGCTGTACAAAGTTATTGACTCACGTATCATGATCAAAGCTCTGTATACTGATGTGAGACCATTTGATCTTATCAAGTACGAGAGAAACTGGCATATTTGCGGAATCTGCACAAAGTCTTTGTTGCTGATGCATTTTTTTCTTTTATCTGTTGTGGGATCTGGGCATTGCTGGCTTGGTCAGGAATTACTGCATGTGCCCATTTACCCTGGAAAAGGTGCTGAAGAGCTGCATCATTGTAACACTACAATACCTGGGTGTGAAGGAACGCTCATCGTACTGCTAGGAAGAGAGATCCAGGATTTTGACTCAGTGACAGTGATGGAACAACAGTACAGTTTCCAAGTCAGAATAATGAATGGCTGAAGGGAATCTGCAGGTGGTGGTTTCTGCTGCCCTTGCTCTTCAAGGTGGTAGCAGTCACAGGTTTCAGAGGTGCTGTCGATGGAACCATAGTGGATTGTTGCAGTGCATGCTGCAGGTGGAACATATTGCTGTCACTGTACATCAGTGGTGAAAGGAATGAACATTTAAGGTGGTGTATAGGTTGCCAACCATGTAGGCTGATTTGTCCTGGATGATGTTAAGCTTCTTGAACATTTTAGCTGCACCCATCTAGGAAAGTGGAGTATTCCATCGTATTGATGGCTTGTGTCTTGTAGATCATGGGCTGTCATTGGCAGATAGGAGATAGCCCCCAGCAGAATTGCTAGCCTGTGACATGCTCTTAAAGCCAGTGTTTATATGGCTGGTCTGGTTCAGTTTCTGCTTAATGGCAATTCCCCAGGATGTTAATATTATGCAAGTTCAGGGACAATGACTAGATTCTCAATAGTTGGAGATGGTCATTTCCTGGCACGTTTCTTGCCACAACAGCTCAAACCTGGATTTTGTCCGGGTCTTGCTGCATATCAGCACAAATTGCTTAAATATAGGAGTCACTGCAAATCTTGCTTAACATTGTACACTGATGATTGCACATTCCTGCTTCTGATGTTATGATGGAGGAAAGGTAATTGATGAAGCAACTGAAATTGACTGAGCCTAGTAATCTGTTGTGGGTGGGGTTAATGACCCTGAACAACCTTCTTGTGTGCAAGATATTAACTTAAAACAATGAAAAGCTTCCCCGGGGAATAGCAAGAACTGCAAACGCTGGAACTGAAATTTGAAACATCACCCGGGCCAGACAGACTGCGCAACAGGGTTCTGAAGGATAGCAAGAACTGCGGATGCTGGAGTCAGAGATAACACAGTGTGGAGCTGGAGGAACACAGCAGGCCAAGTAGCATCAGGGAAGCAGGAAAGCTGATGTTTCGGGTTGGGACCCTTCTTCAGAAATGGGGAGGGGGAAGGGAGATCAGAAATAAATAAATAGAGAGGGGAGAGGTAGGGCTGGGGAAAGAAGGTGGGATAGTCATAGGTGAGTGCAGGAAGAGAGTGGTGGGGATTGGTCAGTGAGGTGGGAGGGGCAGTTAGGTGGGAGGGAAGATGGACAGGTTGTGTCAGGTCAAGGAGGTGAGAATGAGAGGGAGGGTTAGACATGGGTTGTGTTTAGGGGTGGAGAGATTTTAAAACTGGTGAATTAGGCCATCAGGCTGTAGGCTCCCGAAGTGGAATAGGAGGTGCTGCTCCTCCAATTTTCAGTTCTGCTACGGGCTTCTTGATGCCATACTTTGTCGAATATTACCTCAATGTCAAAGGCAGTTATTCGTACTATAGTTCTGGAGTTCCAGTTTTTTGTCTGTGTTTAGACTAAGAATGTGATGAGGCCAGGAATGGAGTGTCAATGAACAGGTTATTACTTTGCAAATATCATCTGATAACACAACTGAAGACACTTCCATCTGTTTTCTGATGGTAAAGAAGACAAGGACAGTAATTGGCCAGGTTTCATTGTCCTACTTCTTTTGGACAGGACGTAGCAGGGAACCTTTCCACATGATCAAGTATATGCCAGTATTGCAGTTGCCCCGAAACAGCTTGGGTAGGGACACAGCTATATCTGCAATATAAGTCTTCATTACTTTTCTCTACTATTGCCAGAATATTGTGAAGGCTCATAGAAATTGTAGTTTCCGGTGCCTCCAGCTGCTTCTTGACGTCACATGCAGCGAATCAAATTGATTGACAACTGGCATTTGTGATCTTGGGGATGACAGGAGGAAGCAGAGATGGATTATCCACCCAGCACATCTAGCTGAAGATGGACATAAATGGTTTGGCCCTGTCATTTGCACTGATGTGCTGAGCTCCTCCATCATTGACAATGGGATATTTGTAGAACCTCATCCTCCCGTTAGTTGTTTACTTGTTCACCACCATTCAGGGGTTGATCTGCTAGGACTGTAGAACGTAGATCAGATGTCTTTATTTGGAATTGTTTCCCCTTGTATTTTGCATGTTACTTCTGCTGATGGCAGGTAATTAGTCCTGTGCTGTAGCTTCACTAAGTTGACACCTCATGTTTAGGTATGCCTGATGCTGTTTGTGTTGTATCCTCCTGCATTTGTCAATGAATCAGAGTTAATTTCCCAGCTTCAGAATAATGGTAGAACTGGGGATATACTGGATACAGATGGTTGTTAAACACAATTCAACTGCTGTTGATGGCCACAGCACCTCATGGCTGCCCAATTTTGTGTTGTCTGTTCGAAGTTTGTTCCATTTAGCATGGTGTTAGTGCCACACAACAAAAACGGAGGGTATCCTCGATGTAAACATGGGATTTTTGACAGGACAACACCTGAACCTTTGGTGATCGATAAGGTTACATTCAGGCACCTAACAGTCTTTGGCATATTCTTCTTTTTGTTGCTGCCAAATGCGTTCAAGTCGTCTTCTGAGGGTGTCTACTAACATACCAGACAACTGTCCAGATCTCATCAGAGTTGTTCCATACTAACAATACCACATGAATATTGCAGCTTCAGCAGCAATGGACAGACTCTCTAACACATTTAGAGTGAATTTAAAGCCAAGAGAAATGTCATGCCTAGGAAGATGCCAGACTGCCACCTATCAGCATTGATAATGTGACCTACAAGGAAGACATGAAAGTGGTGAACATGAATACTGACACCTGGGAGAGAGCAGTTGTCTCAACCACAACAGCTGACACCCCTGATCTCTGGAGATTGACTGTTTTGCAAGGTTGGAGAGCAGAAATAAATAATTAAGCTGGCCAAGAGGAGGGCCCGGAGAAAAACAGAAGCCAGCAAAGTATGCACCTTCTCAACCCATTACCTCTGTTTATAGCAAATGCAGCAGAGACCGCCATGGCAGTGCAATCCTCCTGAACCATACCAGGCAATACTCAACACAGTCGATTAACACAGTGCATATCACTAGTTGACTAAATGTTCCTGACTTTCTGTTTGGAATTGTGTAACACCCAGGAAAACAATTAGAGAACGGAGCGAGGAGGGCAAGAGAAACTATAATGGAATGTTTTTACATAAAAATATCAGATTTGTCCTGTGACAAGCCAATGCAATGTCAAAGCTTCAGCAATTCCAAATTTATCTGATTGAACCTAATGAAGTACATGAAGACAAAATTAATATATGTAGTGCTGTACTCCCAAATATTGCAACACCGTATCCTGGAAAAGGCAAATATTAATTGTTCCAGGAGTTCTCTTGTTGACACCACAAGTTGTGCATTACTCATTAGTTAAGATCGTAGTTCTGGAATACTCGTTTTATTGAAAGCTCAATACTAGATTTTACTTTGATGTATTAACTAACAACTGTGAGGAGATATCATTGCTTTAAATCCATTAATGTGCACTTAAAGGTCTGCACAGCTAAGACCACTTGATTTTTCACCCCAACTAATCGTACATACATCTGATTGATAGGTCTAAATTCCCACATCTCACTGCAACAGCCGTACCTCTCTTCAGACCAAAGTTTCACTTTTTGTTGCGCAATTTGAGAAGTGAATGACAATCTCTCAATGCCATGCCGGTGTAGCCTGTCTGGTGACAGCTGTTGACGAAGGAGATCCAGCTCACGTTCATACATTAGCCGCTGCTCTTCAAGTGCATTCTTCTTCTCCTCAAGATACTGCTTCTCGAGAATCTGCACAACATTCTGAACAGGATCTACAAAATCAGACAGACACCTTACTTAGAGCCAGTTTGCATTAAATCAAATGATCCATGCTCATTGCACTATAGCTATGTGTATTTTAATATGCAAATCCATAGTAATACAAAATCACCCCTACTGTTAAAATCCCTGTAGAGGAACCACAAATCAAAATAATTTAATTTACCAAATGACCATCACAAATTAAGAAATTATCATCAGGATTTCATTTCTTGCAATTTATACTTCAACCCAAATCAGAATCACCACAAATTAAACATGAATTAATGAACAAATGACGCTTCAAATCAAAAATATTAAATTTCTGTTGTATCGACTATTTAGGATGAAAAAAACTCACGGGCAACCACAAGCACCCACATCACTCCCTGTATAAAGTTAATCCAATGTGCAATCTCAGTCTTTTCAACTTAACGAACTTGGTTCCTGACTCATTCCCAGGCAGATGTATATGGTTAACACTAACAAGTCACACATCTACAAAACTTCGCCCATTCACGTTACATTAATCTTGATGGTGTAGCTTTCCGGATTTCCTTTTCAGCTGATCAACTACAAATTTTGGTTCTCAACCTGGATGCCAGATACAAACCCTCTGCTTTTATGCCTGCCTGGGCTTTTGAGGATTCAGTCCCTTTATTCCTGGTTATACATTGTTTCTCAGGAAATTTCTGGAATTCGATTGCTCTTCTTCCTGCCTTTTCGAGGGAGCTTGGATTGCTTCACCTCATAGGAATTATTTGTTTCTTTGTGCCTCTCTGCTTTCTCTACATTGGTGTGATCACCTTCATCCTTTAGTCTTGCTCTCCTCATTTTATGTCTACTAACAGATGGCTTTTGTAACTTAAATTCTTGTGTGTTTGGTACTGCTTCCAGATAAAAGGTTGCCAAGTCAGATGATTAAGTATTTGTTATTCAGGAAAATTAGAAATGATCTCTTTATAATTGATACAAACACTTAAAAGTTATTTTTAAGCATTCTGAGGAACAATCTCAGATGTTTTGAAGAAATCAAAAATTCCCTTTATTGTACAGCTTCTAAATCAAAGGTCACACATGCAAGGATGACTTAAAGATATAACCTCTAAACTCAATCGTCAGATACATAATAAAAACAACAGCACTTTTTTTTAAATCTAACTTCTGGAAAAGGGAGTGAATTTTGAAATTCTGAGTTCAATGTGTCAGCCATGGTCCACTGGGGCTGCCCTCTTGTCTGAGTCAAAAGGTTGAGAGAGTCAACTCCCACTCTACAGGGGAAACTGGACTAATCCAGTGCAGTATGAAGAAGCACTGCATTTTGAGGTACCATCTACAGATCACACTGTAAAGTCACATTCTATTCATTGTGGCAGCATGAGAGTTTTACACAAGTTGTTTAATGGGATTATGGCATATATCGAAGTTCAGTCACATTTTAATATTATGAACAAAATCCAAGTATGAAAAATACTAAAAACTGGGTATGAAATCCTACGATGCTTCAGCTGCTTAAGCAGCTGTGTGACACGATATCTCAGGAAACCTGGGGAAAATATTGACAGAAAACAATGTCTGAATGTAACACCAGAGGCATAGAAATCAGGATTTTTCTCAAATGGCGTCTTGAAGATGTTCAAAGGGAGGCACGAATGACAATTGCTTCAAACCTGTGAAAAGTGCAAGGGGCAATAAAGGAAAGTGATTGTTACGTTATCACAGCTCTTGAGTTTGCTGCTCACCATTTGTGCTGAGAGCTTTCATCATGACTTCCATCTGTGCAAATTCATAATTATAGTCTGGTTCAGATGAAGCTTCACTTGCTGTCTCCACGTCTTGGTCTGCGCTACATTCTCGATTTGCCTCACTTTCATATTCTTTTAATTTGTCTCTCCTCTTCCTCATTGGTAGGTTAATTCTATTTATTAAAAAAAAAAGTTTACTTAAACAAAATTATAACTTCATTACCACAACAACGCCTTTATGCAGTGATACTTACAATGTTTAGCTAACATGGAAACCCACATTTAAATTCTGCAAAAACATTTGATCTTTTGATTTGTGGTAAAGGTTCACTTCCCAAAGTCAGGATAATGGCAAACAAATTATGAAACAATTCATTAAGATCAAACACTCACAGGTCTGTTTGGAACAGGTTATCTCCTTGAACACTGCCTTGACCAAGTCTCTTAACACCAAACCGTCCTGCACCACTTTTCCAAAAGCAGACATGTACATAGATTGAACTGCAGAATTATGAACAGTTCAATAATGAGACTTTATGCCCAAAATGAAGTAAGCGGAGAATAACCAAATTTATTTTACATTGATCTGCTACAGCAGGCATACAGGGTAGATCATCTCTCATTAAACTAGTTGAAGTTTTTTTGACAAGGTCATGGACAAGGTGGATGAGGCAAGTTTCTGTGGATAAGGGGAGTGTCTTCGGATATTGTCTATATCGACGTCTTGAAAACAAACTAATATGGCTCTGTACAAATGATTTTTAGCAAAAGTAAGTGCGTAGATGTAAATTTGGTTGAAAACTGATTGGACAATAGGAAACATAGCCACTGTTGCCACCAGTAAATTCAGCCCTCTATCCACTGGATAGAAATGATGTGGAGGTGCCGGTGTTGGACTAGGGTGGACAAGGTTGGAAATCACATAACACCAGGTTATCATCAGTGAGAGAGGTAGTATCAGACACAGAATTTGTAAGTAAAAGATCAAAGGCTCACACCATAAAGAGGAGGTAACATTTTAAGTCAGACAATGCACGTTAGTATGCTTCCTTGCAGCAGTCCATTCTATTCTGTATTACAATGGCTCCAATTAAACCTTCTAACTAATTAAGGATTTAACAGCATATTAGGTTTGTTTAGTACATCCTCATCAATGGTGTGAACCTTTGATCTTTTACTTATAAATGGTGTCTGATACTACCTCTCTCACTAACACCTGGAGGAGGACTGAGGCTCCAAAAGCTTGCATTTTCAAATAAACCTGTTGGACTATAACCTGGTATCGTGTGATTTCTGACACTGGCTAGAAAAGTTGTGGAAAACTGTTCATGGCCAATTCCGGACTCTCCAAAGCAACTGTCTGACAAACAGGTAGTTAAAGGGTAGTTAAGGATAAAGGGTCCATTTCTCAAGAGCTGCTGGCCAGTTCTTCAACCAACAGCAGTGCCATTGGAAGCGCTGGTCACGACTGGTACTACAGACAACAAGGATCAGCAACCTAGGAAAGCAGATCAATTTCACCAAGGCCCTGGCAAAATAGAGCCATTGTGGTTGCTGGGATTGGGGTTATTGTTGTCATAATAGTGGTAAAATATGGACTATTAATTTTGAACTTCTTCATCCGAGTTTATTACTGAAGTCTTTATGAGTCAAAATGGTTTTACAAAGGAAGAAGCATTGATCTAAAAGACTACAGCAACCATTTGACCACAGATTGAGGCAAGGTTAGGAAAGCCAATGTGGAAAAAACAAAATCACAATTTTACTGAAAGATATTGACACCAGTCAACTGAGATCAGGGGTCAAGGAACTAGCAGTTTCTCTTTTAATTTATGTTTGCATGAGAAGTTGCACAAATCAGGCATCAATGGGTTGCCTGCAGTATATTTCTCTAGCTGCTTGACAGAAAGCAGACAAAGTCAAAAGGAAGTGTAGTCGCACAAGAACCGACTTGAAAACCATTTGTTTCCTTCGCGACCCTTAAAAGCCAGCACCAAAGATAAAGTTCACAAATTTTGTTCGTGCTGATGTTACAAAATATTAACTAAACAGTCAAGGTCTCTAATTCAATTATGCACACCTCAAGGACCATTGGAACTTTTAAACAGCTTATGTTTTTATCTTCATTTTAGTACTAGCCACTCTCCTCTTTCTGAACTTTATGCCTGTGTTTGTGTGCATGTGTTTGATATTGTGTTTTAGTTATTCTTGGGTTAGTAGATAATAAAATTTCTTTACTTTTTGCTCAGGGCAACTGTGCAATTGGCTCCTTTATTATGTTCTACTGACTGTCTTTCAATGTTGTAGAGCTGCATGTTAAAATGAAAAAAAATTTGTTGGCACCATCAGAGGGAGTTAAGAAGCGGGGACCAATTCACCCCTCCTCACCTGGTCATAATATTGCTGAGAGCAGGGGGTCTTTCCTAATAGGCAGCTTTTGCCATTAGGACAGGGTGCTCATGACCCAGACGGTGCCTGATCAGCAGAATGCTTACCCATGCATGCCTGCAACGTGACCAACTGCAATAACTCTGTGGCTTATCTTCATGGAGTAGACAACCAGAGAACCAACAATCCTGCCCGTGAGTGTATATCAACAGCGACTGGTTGAGGCCCATTTTTGTCAAATAACTGGCTACATGAGGGCCTCAACTGGACTTCAGCAAGGGCCATCATCGACCTTCCCTACTCCTGACTGGATTGGAAGAAACAGGATTTCAGTGGGTATCCATTGTCAACTTTCCTCTAAATTTTATAGTGCCCCAACCCCTCAGTGAACAGCCCTCGAGAAGACCAGATGAAATTTTGTCCATACAGTAGAGGGAAAGGTAGCATGGAAAATGATGTTCTCCAAGGTTCTGCTCTTGGAGTTCAGCTTTTAACTATATTGTCAATTAATCAAATGGATGAAGACAGTTGTACATCAAATCCTACACACAATATTACGGTAGGAAGTTGTGAAAATAAGAACATGAAATTACAGAAGGACACACACCGATTAAAAGATTGAACAAAACTGTGGCAGATGGGAGTATTAAGTGAAGGTCAGTGAGGTCTTCTGTATTGAATGGATTAAAAACAAATAGAACTTTAATGACATGAGACTAGATGATGTGATGGAACAAAAGGATTTGAGACTCAAGGTAAATAAATCAAAGAGTCAGTAAAGTTACATAAAGGCTAATGGAATGTCACCTTTTATCTCACCACAAAGATGTAGTAGTTATGCTTTAAATACACAGTGCCTTAATTGCACTCCATTTGTAGAATCTTGTCCAATTTTGATTACCAAAATCAGATTAAGAAGAAGAATAACTGACCCTGGAGGGGGCATTAATCAAGCTTGCAAACCTGCGCAGAGCTAAATTTTGATGCAAGGCTGTAAAAACTTGGGCTCTATTCCCTTGAGGTTAAAAGATTTGAGGAGTGACTTAAAGGAAGTATTACAAGAAAAGGATGACATAATTGCAGTACAGCAACGATGAAAAACAGAAACAAGGCGAGTGAATAGATGCTCAGAAACAACAGTTGATAAACTAATTATTCCAAAAATTCATACATATATACTAAGGACATACCTAAAGAAGTGGTTATTTCCCCAGAGAATTCTGTCCCCATGCCAGAGAGAGTTTGGAGCATGCAATACAGCACCATTCAAGCAAGTTCTGAAAAATAAATATTTAATTATTTGAGAATCAGGGTTCATTCTCATAACATCCAATTCCCCGCAGTCTTATGATAGGTTAAATATTTCCAGATGTGGTGAATGGATTGATACAAATAAGGTATTTTAATCATTTTCCTGATGTTGCTTCTATTTCAGGGCCAGGATCCATTTTGACATTTCCAGAACAGCTGAGTATCAGATAAGACTGCAAGCAATAAAATTTGGATACAGTCTGGAAACCACTTTATACAACTCCTGTGGTGGCAATAGATACCGATCAGGAGAGTTATCATGTTATTATTAAATTATCAACGATGACACTATGTGAAAGAGAGGGGAGGAAAGACATCCAGCATTCCATGAAGTGCTGGAACAAATCTGAGCAATTCTTCAAAACCAAGGAAACCTGACTATGAAGTCAGAAAAGGATAAATGCCAGGGACATCATGCCCAGTTCGCTGAATTAAGATTTGCATGCCCTGAATGACAAATGCATTTTAATTCATATAATATGGGAATGTAGGACTAAGGTAGATTCTATAAATTCAAAAATCTTGATAACCAGAGATGCATGGCTATTTTTCAGCTGATTTCATCACCAGAAGGTCTACAGTATAAACCTACGTTGCATGTAATGTGATACCCAAACCTTTTGTTTCAGAAAATAACGTCTCTTTATCTCATTATTAAAATTACAAATTAAGCACTTAGATTTCAAGTTAGGTGGTTGATAAAGCATGTTGCTGATTCCATGTTTTATAAAGGTCACAGTCACCATATAACTGGGAAAGCAGAAAAGAAAAAGGGGGTGACAGGCAGAGAGGGAATGGGGGAGACAGAGAGACAGAGGGGGAGATGGTGGGGGGGGGGGGGGGAGAGAGAGAGAGAGAGAGAGGGAGAAGGAAAGGGAGAGGGAGAGGGAGAGAGACAGAGACCATGTATATCTGTGCATGATCACACTTTGATAACTGATAACATGCCACAAGGCTCAATATCCAAGTTAAAGATCTTCTCTGCAAAAAGATCAAATTGAAAAAATTAAAACCAAAAATTATTAGATATGAAAAATAGAGACAATAATTAATATATGGAACACTTTAATACATTCTAAATATGCAAAACCAGTTTGGCTTGTATCTTTCCCCATCTGCAATCAGTGTTACATTTTAGTTTGACATTAAGAACAACAACAACTTTAAGTGATGATTATTCTCATGACCTCTCCCTTGTATTTGAGGGATGGACCCAGCTCCTGTTCTGTCCTCCTAATAATGCCACAACTGAGTCTGGGACCCTGTGCAGAAATTTTCATGCCACCTTGCCTACTATTTTAAGAAGTTATTGTAATTGATGCATATCCTAAAGAACAAATTTAGATTACATCAGGCAAAGACGACTTTGGTTTCTACCCTCACTAATCCAGTTAAAAAAGGAGCACTGTACGCAGCAGTTAAAGAACAACTTAAAAGTGCATTTTGAACATAATTAGCCAAAATAAGAATTTCATGAACACACATTTGTCATAATATGCAACAATTATTCTCAATATATGGCAGATTTTTAAAAAATCATGATAGACCATTCAAACAGTGACATATTTCTAATACAGTTTTGTTCTTGAAATGATCACATTTCCGAATTACATCATATGTCCCTGGACTCAAAATCCACCCTTTGCCTCTGCCTCATCTTTAGTGATTGGCGAGTCCCACCTTCATGTTGTGCTATCTAGTGCCATGAATTAAATTGGAAAAATTCAAATTAACTTAGCTAGAAACTGACCTCCAATCTAGAATGGGCATGAACCTAGTGCACATCACTGAGAAGCAGCTCAGTCTTGCACCCATATTTTCTGATTACAGCAGAATAGTCACTGGATGAGGATAAATACGAAAGTTAGCTCAATGACATCCAGTTTTACTGGGCAATAATCAACAGCAACAGGAGGCAGATAAGTACAGTATCCTACCTGAATGGTCACTGTGATCAATAAATCATAAAAGATGAAAGACCAAGGTTCGTCTGTGTGATTTTTAGTCAGAGGTCAGACACATTCAACTGAATAGACATAACCAAGTGCACAAACTAAATTTAAGCATCAATGAGATGATCACATGCAAAATATTAACAAATGCAAAATGTTGGTTGTCAAATGGAAGACATACAGGATGTACATTAGGTCTGCCTACATCTGAAAAGAAAGGCAGGCTATGTTGCATCTTTTTCATGGATTATATTTTGGTCAAACTACTGGGAGCTTTATTTAACCTTGATCAGGAAGTATAATGCTCAAAAATTAAACCCAAACCACGTGGCAAGAGGATGACTGCAATGGATTGTTCAAAAATTAACCTCTTTTACCTGGCCTACAGTGAAACTATTACCTGGCATTTTCATTTGGGCTAAGAGTAACATCCCCATCTGCTGTAATGTCAATGACACAGTGCTCAGGCTGGATGCCAATTCCACACAGCTGAACGTCCTGAGATTCATCTGCACCGACTCTGGTGTGATCCTGTTGAGAATATCAGAAGCTTAAAAGGTCAGCACCTGATATTTGGCTATAAATATTCACGGGATGCATATAAGTGCACAGTACACCACTTGAGTAACTCAGCCTGAATCAATGTTTCCATGCCTGCTGTAAGCAGTAACGTGTCTTGCCAAATATTTAACCATAACATTTTTTTCTGATTAAACGTGCAGCCAGGAAATAACTTAAAGCCGGAGTCAGTGGCAATCGCAAAACATGAAGCATACAAATACAGAAAATAACACAGTACATTTCAATAACGTCAACTGAGCTCACGGTAAGGAACAAATTGCTTTCACCACATTTCTGTAAACAGGATTTATTGGAGAAAGGGGGTTGTGATTTCACAATCTAGATGCTATAGAACAGATTATGGATCATTGTTGTTGTTAGTAGAGGCGATATGAAGCAGAAGTAGTGGAAAACTGGCAAAGGGGAGTGTGACCACATGCTATAAAAATATCAAACCTCACTGACCATGAGGCAGGATGGCAGATTACATGCAGATCTCATTCAAATACGTGGAATAGTAACAATTGTGCACAATCACAAAAAAAAAGTCTGTCATATAGCCCTTTCCCTGCTTTATATTCCACATTTGGAATAGGAGGATAGTATTGAGAGGGTGGTGATTTCTGAAATAGCTTACCAAAAAAGGTTTTAGGGATAAATACCTTTGATATGTATTTTATAACACAGTGTCAATTTTCCAATGATTAAATAAGAATTTAGTAGTTACCGTGCAGCAGAGACTCATCAGACTTTGGCAGGTAGGTCACAAATCAATTCAGCTTTGGAATGTGCCCATTCCACTTCTTAAAAATTGAGACTAATTTAATGCAGAGATAATCTAGGACAGAATTATTAGGACAAAGGAGGTGGCCATTCAGCCCACCAAATCTATATTGGTGAAGGACTTCACCTGATGCAGGAGCAGCGCCCTGAAAGCTGGTGATTTCAAATAAACCCATTGGACTATAACCTGGTGTCATGTGACTTTTGACTAATTTTAATTAACCTTATTGAAATTTCTAAACTTTTTATTTATAGTCTACTACATTTTTCTGCATATTTTGTTGTTTACCAGTATTTAGCATGTATATATGGACAACATTTTTTCTTTTCAAAATGTAATATTCATCATGAGCCCTCTCACAACAAGCACTACTGTTTCTAACTTGTACAGTGTACATTGCTAATCTATGTCAGAGGTCCACCGTCCAATCTCGTTGTTGTGATCACCAACAAAGTTTGTTGAGTACTGCACAATGAAGCAACTCAACACCAGTATCACGCAATCAGAAGTCTGGTTAGATGCCACTCTATATACAGGATGAACAGGTACACAGGCCGGTTGAATTAAACAATGACTGGTGTGATACTTCCTATTTCTATAGTCAGATGAAACAAAGGTCATTCTTTGTGCTGCAGACAAGGTTAAGATTGCCACTTACTTTTATGTAGCAGCTTTGGAGAGGAAACCTTTCAAGCAAAATCATGACATATTTGACAGCACTCACTGGCAGCACAACAGTGATTTGTTATTTTCGTAATCAACCTGCTCAGAGATGTTATTACACACCCCTGGAACAGGTAGGACTTGAACTCGGGTCTCCTGGTTGAGAGGTTGGGACACTACCACTGTGCCACAAGAACCCTCAACAGCAATTTGTTATGAACACTCACTTTCAAATAGTAGACGAGCAGTTCATTGAGTGCAGGGTCAGCATTCAGGTTGACTAAAAAGCACTTGTCATCCCCAACTTTAATGCCAGAAGACTCCAGAGAGATGCCCATACTTTCGAGTTGTTTTTGTCGTTCCTGCAGTCAACACAATAAAACAAAACAGAGCAATACCTTTGAAATCTGAGTGACAAGGGCTCACCATAACACTTCTAAGCAAACATATGTACTTCTACATCGCGAACTGTTCATTCTTCACAGATGGGGAATTGCTGGCTCGGCCAGAATTTGTTGTCCGTCCTGAATTGCCCTCGAGGAGGTGGCGGTGAACTGCTTTGTTGAACTGCTGCAGTCCTTGGGATGATGAGGCATCCACAGTACTGTTGGTGCAGAGTGGGAGCAAGATGGGGCGGGTGGGAGGGTGAAGAATGGGCAAGGAGGAGCGGACAGGAGATAGTGCAGGAGGGAGCAGGAGGGAGGGGGACGGAGAGCGCAAGGGGTCCAGATTGCAGAATAGAGAGCGCGAGGGGTAGAGAGCACGTGAGAATGAGCGGCAGCAAGAGGGAGCGTGAGGGCGTAGGGCGAGAGCAAGACAGCGAGTGAGCGAATGGAAGGGAGGTGAGGAGAGGAGATTTAAGCAATGGTCATGTCAATGAATGTCAATGGGAGGTAGTTAAAATCTCACTTGTTAGAGCTTGTCATTGTTTGTTACTTGAGTGACACAAATGCTACTTGCCATTGTCCGTTTGAGTCTGAATGTTAATTTACAAAAACTATGAGATTAGAGTAATTTGGTTTCATCAGAAAATATTGCACAGGTTTAATCTAACTTAATTAATAGTGCTTGAAAAGAAAATAGATGAATCCTTCAAAGTACTAGTTTTAATCTACTTCCACACAAAGATCTGTATTAAATCTTGTTTGTAAACCTAATCACAACTCCTAATTTAAAAAGCTATATTCTCTAACAAAAAGTCTGATTGTGCAAAAAACAAAACACAGGTTTGCTTAGAAAATGCTTGCCAATTGCAATTTTGTTTGCTAGAAGATGCATTCACTGCATTAATCCATTGCCCTTCATGTTAACTTTAAATCAAATAAAATCCTAATACTGTCCAGCCATAGTAGCTAGCCAACAAATCTTGCTCAGTTCAGCTTCAATGAAAATTATAGAAATCCATGGGTAACTAAGATAGAAAAGCAATTAAGATTAAATGAAATTGCCTTACAAGAAAGCAAAATATCAAAGACTACTTCCAAGCGAACACAAGTAACTTGTTAATCTTTACTTTGAACTCTAAATAGCTTAAAGTATTAATCTTCAGTGCAATTTAAAAACTCATTCTTTCCAACTTTCTCACCCATTATCCAAGAAAAAAAAAAAGGCCCTCATCTCTAATTTAGCTAATAAACCAGTGACTAAACAGTTACTCATTTTGTCAGTTTTCAATATTATGTCCCTTATGTTGTGGTGGTCAGTCTTGAAGTGTGGTACAGATCGCTGACCTCAAAGAAAGCAGCAGATGAAGATCTAGCAATCCTCTTTTCCGACACTAAACCACAGGAATCTCCAGGCATACAGCAACAGTTATACAATCAATTTGGGTAAGCAGCTCATCGTATTGATCTATACCCACAGAGGGAGCAAATTGAAGTATAATGCACGGATTACACATCACTTTTAAATAAATCTTGTAAACAGCAAAATAAATGATTGGAACATATAATTGGGATTATGGTTGATACCGAAACATCATTAAAAAGAAACACAGTTACACGTCATTCAACGAGTTGTGTAATTGCAGGAGCTTTTAAAATGTGAAACTACTAGTAATTAAAGGCAAGTTCCATCACTTCAGTGATTTCTATTTCCAACCTGTGAAAACTTTAACAGTGCATTTTAACAGAGGTGCAGAATCACTGACAACTTCTGGACCTTCAGATTAATTACACATATGGGACAGCACAGTGGCTCCGTGGTTAGCCTCACAGTGCCAGGGACCCAGGTTCGAATCCAGCCCCGGGTAACTGTCTGTGTGGAGTTTGCACATTCTCCCTGTGTCTGCGTAGGTTTCCTCCCACAGACAAAGACGTGCAGGGTACAGCAATAGGCTAAATTGCCTCTCGTGTTCAGGGATGAACAGCCATAGGAAATGCATGGTTACAGGGCTAGGTGGGGACATGGGTCTGGGGGGGATGCTCTTCGGAGGGTTGGTGCAGACTCGATGGGCCAAATGTAGGGATTCTATGATTCTATGTTGATCATATTCTAACCAAATGTTGCTGTCAGTTTCAGACCAATGATAGTGAATGTTGACAATTTCACCCAAAAAACCCAGCGAAACGTTTAATGATTGGAAAGCCACGTATAGAAAAAGTTGAACTGGTGTGAAGAGCGCACAGAATCAAATACTGAATTTGCATCAGCACTTTTACTGGAATAAAATAACATTCCTACTATAATTCAAGATACAAATTCCTCTGCTTGGGTTGCGCATTGGATCAGGAGTGCTGATGGATCCTCTAGCCCTCGTTCTCATGACTAACAGTCATGCCTGTTAAACCAGTTTAGGAAGTGGCTGCACTTAATTGATAATTTCTTGAGCCAAGTTCCTTCATTTGCTTCTGAATTAATAACTTGAGTTCCCATAACACTGTAAACTTTAATTAATCTAATGCAAAGTTATGAATGCATTTGATAACACAGCAAAAATGTGTAGCACTCCAGGTGGCAGTCACGCAAAAGATAGGTCCAATATGTCCTCATCACACGGAGCAGCATTTAGCCACATTACACATCACCATGGAATGGTTTTCTTAAACTATAGGAGATTGTTACTTCCCTCTAACTACATTGAAACAAAAGGAAGCAACTTAATTCCACACAAAGTTTAAATATTTTAGTTTAAAAATGCACAAATAATGGTACATTGACAGTAACCATTTTCATTCTAAAATCAGCACCTCCAAAACAACTAGAACCGACCCGCAAATTAATTTTCTCCCACTGACAAACCTGTGCAATTTCTTCAGTTTTCCTCAGCTTCTCCTCCCAAGTGATAGTCAAATCTTTAATGAGCTTTTCAGATTCTTCTAATTTCTCTTTTAGCTCAGGAGCTTTCATTGCCTAGATTAACAAAAAAGCAAAAAAAAAAATCAGACTATCATTGTCATAGTCAAATTACAAGTGAATCAAAAAATGAAATTTGTTACCTCTCAATCATAGCTAGCAACACTTCACTCATTGCAGGAAACTGAGTGCAATCTTAGTTGTTTTTCAGGTTTAACAATTCATAGGGGCAAATCTTGTGCCCTCCCCTGTGGTGAACCTGGCGGCAGTTGTGGCATTTAATTGGGGGAAGGAAGGCAGGCAGACAGGCACAACCACCTTCCCATCTCCAGCGTGATTAAGTAAGGGTGGCAAAGCCAACATCCCACTACCACTAATATTCACCCAGGGTAAAGAGGAGGTTCACCATATGGGCAGCTGGACAAGCAAACGTGCCAAGTTCCAGCAGGGTGCCCCATTCAAAGGGACTCAACCTGACTGAGGTAACCTAACATCAGGAATTAGGAAGTTCTGTAGAGTATGTAGGATTGTAAGAATGTAAGAGGTTGAGGAATGACTTTATAGAGGTTTATAAAGTCATGAGGGATACAGATAAGGTTAATGGCAGGTATCTTTTCACTGTGGTGGGGGATTCCAAAACTAGAGGACATTTTTAAGGTGAGAGGAGAAATATTTTAAAAAGACGAGGAGCAATTTTTTTTTTTTTTTTTAAAAAACACAGGGGGTGTTCATATGTGCAATGAACCTCCAGAGGAAGTGGTGAATGTGGGTACAGTTACAACATTTAAAAGACATGCACACAAGAAATGTTTGGAGGGACATGGGCCAAGCACAGGCAGGTGGGACCAGTTTAGTTTGGATTTATGGTTAGCACAGACTGGTTAGACCCAAGGGTCTGTTTCCATGCTGAATGACTATTGGCTGTAATCAGCATCTTACCCTACAAATTGCCTGTCCCTCCTATTCCCCACCCCAATGCTTTCCTGCTGCCACTTACCTGTGCCTGGGAATCTTTTCAATCCAAAGCTTCAGGTAGGTGGAGCACTGCAGTAGTCACTGCCTCTTCAGTGACATTGCCTAGTATAGACCAGCTCTCTATCTCTGACTGACAATATAATGTGGGCAGCATATCTGCCCCCAGGGTCCTTGACTTCGGGCAATGGTCCACCTCTGACCTGTTTGTGCCTGAGTGACAAAATGCAATAGGCCCGGAGGCATCAGCAGAGTCTTGACAATGCTCTAGACTGTAGAAAAGACTGTCATCATCTCAAGAAAATCTTGCCAGTTAAGTCATTAGACCACTGACATCAGCTATTTGGCCTATCAAGTCCATGTCAGCTCTCTGTACATCAGTCCAGCCAATCCCTGAAGATTGCAGGCACAGAGCAGAAGTTCATTTCCCAACACTGGGTACCCAGTGTCCTTTTTAAATCATTGATCATCTCTGCAACTACAATGTATATCAGCCATTTCCAGATGAGTAACACTTCCTGCATAAAAAAGTTCTCTCAAATATTCCTTGCAGTTCTTGCCCAAAAACAGTGAATGGGAAAGCTTCTTAATATTGACCTGACTTAAACCTGTCATAATTTCTTACACTTTTATCAAACCTCCACTCAGTCTCCTTTGCCACAAGAGCAACAGTCCCAATTTCTTCAACCTAACCTTGGAGCTAAAATTTAAATTCCCTGGAAACATTCTTATAATTCTCTGTACCTTCTGAAGGACCTAAATACCTTTTTTGTTTCTTCATTTTACATGGGATGTGGTGTCTCTGGCAAGATCAGTATTTATTGCCTATCCCCAACTGCTTTTGAACGGAGTGGTTTGTTAGGTCATTTCAGAGGGTAGTTAAGAGTCAACCACATGACTGTGTGCCTGCAGTCACATACAGGTTAGATCACGTAAGGAGACATTCTTCCCTCAGCATGTTATCAAATAAGGTCGGTTTCTGAAGTATAGCGATCAGAACTGGTACAGTACTCTGGTTGTGACCTAATCAGAGCTTTGCTCGCTCAGCTCCCTCATACCATAAACATCCAAAACTATGTTTACAGTTCTGAGTGAAGAAAGCCTCAGTTAAGTGCACAGTCTGTGTTACAGAGTCAAATGTTGTTAACACACTCAATGTTTCTCTCTGGTCCTGCACCTTTACCTTCGCCTCCTTACCTCAGCCTGACTTAGTTGCTCCTTCAATTTTTCTACTTCCTCGCGTAACTCTCGAATGATCTTAGCATTTGGGTCTTCGTTCACCACAGCATGGTTTACAATGCGTTTTGCCCGATCAGCGTATCTCAGTGTGGAAAGTGTTTCTTCATAGTTGTCCCCAGCTGGGCTAATTGTTGCTATCATAGCAGTTTTACTATTTCCTCCCAAGTTATCCTAGATCACAAATTTAAAGATTCAATGTCAAAAACAGTTATACAGATGTTGAACCTCTATGCATCAATGACATTTGTTTGCTTTAAAATGTTTTGCAATATATTATCATACTGACCATAATTTAAGGACGTCTTGCTATTAGGTACAATATTTCAATAAGCCAGAATATGTAACAGTCATGAGGTAGTTATACTGCAATATTTTACTGTTAATCATAATTCCTTTAATTTGATTTGAAAAAAAACTGCTGCATTTATTTAATATCTCATCACATTCAAATGACCTACTAAGAGATATTGCAGCCAAAGCACTACTTTTGAAGTTGTCTTGCTGTTGTTGGGTAGATCAGTGCACTGGTCTGTTTGTGAGCAACAAGGTTCCTCGAGCAGCAAATGAATTGATAAGTAGATGAATCCTTTTTGGAGGTGCAAATAAAAGAAGAAATTTTGTCAAGGATGACAGGAAGCTTCATTGTTCTTTCACTAGTGAAATAGGAGCTGGTGAACTACAGCTGTCTTTGTTTATTATACCTAGAAAATCAAAATGTGACCCTACCCTCTTCATGGCCATCGTTTTTGACAACTAAAGGCAATTTAGCATTCTTTAAACTGAAACCTGTACAGCCAAATAGAAATAAGTTAAGTTATTAAAACAACTGTCATCAAGCAACAATATTCATTTTCAAGAGGGCAGTCCTTGGTTTCTGGCTTAAATCTAGTTGCTATCCAACTTGAAATGACCAAGAAGCTCCTCTCAGTTTTCAAGAAAATTTATCTTTAAAACCTGCAATAGATAAATGGGACTAGATTTTGTTGTCTGTAGTGAAGCAAGGATGCTTCCTTCCAATCTCAAAAGAAAACTTTGCTTTTGGTGGGGAGGGTGCAAAGGCAACCATGGTGTAAACTGTGGTGAAGAAATAAATTACATACTGCAACTTCACGATCTCTATGTTAAGATTGCGCTCACAGTTCACCATAAAGATTCCTTGTTAATCCAGGCAGTCAGATTCCAAGGAGGACTGAGACAGTGCAGGAACAGGCAACACCACTAACATAATGAGTTCACATTCACCTCCTGCTCTCTCAAACAGTTGGGAGTTAATGTCACTACTTGCCTCAATAAAACAACACCAAGTTGAAGGAAAGAACAGCAAGAGGGGAAGCAAGTTATGTAGTAAGGAGGCGATATGCAGTGAACGAGGAAAATGGAAAGAAAGACATAGTGAAACAGGCAAACAAATGTCAGTGTCAGAAATGAAGAAAAGAGAAAACACAAATCTAAGAGAAAACACAAATCTAAGAGAAAACACAAATCTAAGAGAAAAGGTACACTCAAGAGGAAAATGAAACACAACAGCAGATGCTGTTAACTCTCAGCTGGTCAGAACCCTGACAAAAGGTCACCGACTTGAAAAGGATAACTCTGTTTTACTGTCCAAAGTTGTGGTTAGATCTGTTTAATATTTCCAGCATTTTCAGTTACTTCAGATTAACAGCATTAACCACACTTGATTCTTGTAGATGAGTGAGACCTGGCAGAATCCAAGATGGTAACAATAGTTCCAGTTGATGACTTCAAGAAATTCAAATACATTGGAGCTGGGTACAATGTTTCATTATTATTCTGCACCGCTCAAAAGCAACTTTATCATCTACAGCTTGTGTCCCACCTGTAGCTTGGTCACTCCCAAAGGTTGCACATCATTAGTGTCATAGCAAGATGGCTAAATTCATTATTGTTAATGTGCTGTGGATTACATTCCAAACAAACTTAGCATGAGATATATTCCTGAAGAATGCACTTAAACAGGGATTAACACAAAATCAAAACCCATTTATGGGTTCACACCATTCTTATTGGATCTTCCTGCAAAAATGAACTGGTTAGCAGTAAGATAAGTAATCTCTTTTCCATTGTTAAGACAGATTTGAAATTACTGGAAATGTGAAAACAGGCTGTTAATATTATACTCCGGAAACAAAAACAAATCCTGGTCAAATTGTCAGAGAAAAAGTAACATTTAAAGCAGAAGCAATTTCATTGGAAACAGCCACATGCCTTTTAAAGTTAAATCTATATTAATAGGCTTCATATTATAAGTATTTGCTTTATTCAATAAGCTTATCGTAACAACAGAGCCAGAGAGTAATGCACTTAGAACTATAAACAAATACAGTACAAGAATATAGTATTATGCATTCGAATAAAAGCATAATATACTAGAATAAAAGTCTAATATACCTGGGAGCAGACACTTTCAAGTAAATCTGTGTCAGAGCAGTGGAATGCAAGGAGAAAACAGGGGAGTGTGCAGGGCCAACATATTCCAATAAAGGGTGGGGCCACCAAATCCAGTGAACCCTGGATATCGAGGAATATAAAGGATGGAAAAAGAAAAAAAAGGAGGCATAAGGCAGATATCAAGGGCTCAAAACAGTAGATACCCCAGAGAAGTATAGAATGCACAAGGGTGCCTTAAAAAGGAATCAGGAGAGCAAAAATGGGGCAAGAAAGAATAATGGCAGGTAAATAAAGGAAAATCCGAAATTAATTTACAAATGCATCAAGGGTAAAAGGATAGCCGGACAAAGAGTAGGGCCTATTAATGTCCACAGTGCTAATTTGTGCATGGAGCCAGAGGACGTAGGTAAAGTTCTAAATGAATACACTCAGTGTTCATTAACAAGAGGGATGAAGCGGGTATAGAAATCAGAAGGACTGGAAATTAGTATTGCTAAACAGGAGGCTCTGAGTGGTCTGGCAGGCTTAGAAGTAGATAAATCTCCAGGGTTGGAAGAACTGTATCCTAGGCTGTTGAGTGAGGCAAGGGAGCAAATAGCAGGGGTGCTGGCAATATTTTCAATTCCTCTCTGGACATAGGAGAGGTGCCAGAGAACAGGAGGATAGCTAATATGGAATTGTTATTCAAGAAGGGAAGAAGAGATAAACCAGGAAACTGCAGGTCAGTCAGTCTAGCCTCAGTGATGGAAAAACTCTTGTGAGCTATTCAGAGGGACAGAATTAATCTGCACTTGGAGGGGCAGAGATTAATCAAGAATAATCAGCATGTTTTTGTTAAGGGGAGTTGTGTCTGACTAACTTGATTGGATTTTTTTGAAGAGGTGATCAGATGTGTAGATGAAGGTGATGTAGTCTGCTTGAACTCCAACAAAGTTTTTGTTGAAGGTTTCACATGGGAGACTGATTGCAAAGTTGAGACACCACAGGATCCAAAAAAGTTTGACTATTTGACCCAGAAGTGGATGAGTGGCAGGAAGCAGAGGGTGATGGTCAATGAATTTTTTTTTGGATTGGAAGCTATGTCCACTGGTGTTCCACAGGGATCAGTCTTGGGGCCCTTGCTGTTTGTGGTATATATAAACGATTCAGACTTGAATGGAAGAGGGTTGATAAGCAATTTTGCAGATGATATGAAAGTTGGTGGGATGGGAAAAAGTAAGGAAAATAGTCTTACATTACAAGATGATATAGGTGGGCTGATCGGTGGCAAATAGAGAAGGGTGAGGTGATGGACTTGGGCAGGACAAACAAGAACAAACAAGGAAAGAGAATACATAACAAACTTGAGGACCCCGGGAAACACCAAGGATCAGAGTGACTTGGTGTGCATGTACACCAGTCCTTTCAAGCAGCAGTACAGGGAGATAACATGGTGAAGGAGGCATGTAGGATACTGCCTTTATTAGCTGCAGCATAGAGATTAAGAGCAGAGAGATTTTGGTGGAACGGTGTAAAATGTTGGTTAGGCCACAGCTACAGTATTGTGTGCAGTTCTGTATTCTACATTATGGGAGGGGTGAGATAGCAGTGAGAAGGTGCAGAGGAGATTTACCAGGGATCTTGCCTGGGATGGAGAGTTTTACTCATGGAGAGAGATTGGATAGTCTGGACTGCATCCCTTGGAGCAGAGGAGACTGGGGGAAACATGATCGAGATGCATAAAAATGAGGGGCATAGAAAGACTCAGCTTGAAGAGACATTTCCCCTTGGTGGAAGGATCAAAGACTGGCAGCAGAGATTTAAGGTAAGGGGAAGGAGGTTTACAGGGGATATGAGGAAACATTTTTTTCATCCACAGGATGGTGGGAATCTGGAACTCACTGCTGCTAAGGGTGATAGGGGCAGAAACGCTTGTAACATTTAGGAAGTAATTAGATGTGCATTTGCAATGCTAAGGGTACGGGTCAAGTGCTGGAAAATGGGATGAGAATAGTTAGGTGCTGGTTTTTGACTGGTACAGACTTGTTGTGCCAAAGGGTCTTTTTCTGTGCTGTAGATGTCTGTGACTTTATATCTTTAGAATTAATCCAATCATTCAAAATTGAAGGATTAGGATTAGAGACGTATTTATCAACTGGATTATTCTTAATTATCTTAAAAGATTATTAAGTAGATGGTTTTCACTGTGATTCTAGTAGATGACCAGGTAACAAACATGGACATGTTGAGGTGAAATTATCAGACGGGAGTCTTGGAACACTATTTGAGTTTGGTCAGTTGAATTGGAAACCCTCAATTCATCTAAAGGAAACCTGGATCTGTACCTGAGACACTGCAATCTGTGAGGCTCCAGACCAGGCTTTGGAAAGGGGGATTAGAATAGGCAGCTAGTTTATTCCGCCAGTAGAGACAAGATGGACTGAATGGCCTCTTTCTCGATGATGTAACTTTTCTACAGTTCTACAACTGACTTTAAATTACTGGATGATTAAATACTACAAGGTGCTTGTTGGCAGCCTAGCATTGTTATTAAATGAAAAAACACATCCACAAAAGAAATGTAAATTCCAAAGAAGAGCTCAACTTTGTTTTTTAAATAATGAAGCTTCATGCCTCTTACAAGCATGCACAATTATAATATTAGTTGATGAGTGGCCACTTTCACAAATAGTCTGTTTGTTCAGGATTGTAGAGCTTCTTTTCACAAATTAAAAAGATGTAGGCTAAAGGGCACTTAATTTAGAGATGATATTTAGGTTTATGAAACAGTTTTAGTTTGGATGATTTTTAACAAGTGCTATTTTATGTTCAAAAAGTTAAGAAAATCAATCAGACCCGAGCCGATTCTAGTTAGCACTGGTCATATCTGAATACTAAAGTAAATGTCTTCAATCTCGATTTTACTTAACAGGAAACTAGATCTTTATCAGGAAGATAAATCTTTGTCTGGATTTTTGTCCATCTTTGAAATGCAGGAAATTTGCTATAAAGCGCCTTCAAAAGTGCACAAAGCAATGTGAACAGATTTTCTTTTTCCAGGCTTCGCGGTCAACAAATTCATAAATGGAAAGGACTTGCACTTATCATAGCATCAGATCTCAAATGTCTTAAAGTGCTTCACATACAGCAAGTCATTTTTAACTGGAAGAATTATTACAAGGTAAAGAGTCATATTATATATAGCAAAGATCATTCAAAAACCACTATGTTTTTGATGGTCTTGATTAAGAGGACTCCCAATCTCACTACAAGTCTCACCATCAAATTCTTGAACATGGAGACAAAGGAGCCTTCACGGCAACTTGGGTCCAAAGGGTGACAGCTCTGACAATTCAATATACCCTCAGTATGGCAGTGGAATGAAAGGCAAGCTGAAACAACACCTTCTGACTCAAAAGCAGAATGCAACCATACTGACTTCATTTATGAATAATGCATCAATGCCAAAGTCACAATACAGCACACTTCATGAGAATAACATAGGCAATTAACAATTGCTTGTTGCACCATTCCAGCTGCCTGAAATTCAGTATTTGCTGTTCAGATTTTTAGGCTAACTTTTAGGTATTCAAGACTGATAGCATATAGCTCTAAAATATGGAAGACTTTTGCCACAGAGCAGAAGAATCTGATGCCATACTGCAGGTGCAGAGTAAAAGTCCCTTTACTCTTAACCAAAATCGGACTTTAAAACACTAACCTCAGAACACCCCAAATGTACCAGGGAAATGCTCTCCATTTCCCACAATCACCACCCATAAGGTCTCACTAAAGGAGACTGAATTTTTGCTAATCAGTGCCAAATGATCAGCTATTTTGCTGTGATTCCATGATTGTTAGGATTTGGGTTCCAAATTCATTTCAGGTTAGGCATCTGAAGCTGTACAAAGAACAAGATGATAGTCATGCAATCAGACTGCGTTGGATGCAAGTCCATTTCCCAGAAATGAAAGATTTATGATGTTGCCTCACAATATGCACATATATTCTTTACAATACACTTTTCTTGCAAAGAATTTGATCTGGTCATCAATACCTTGAGAAGCCAGGTGAGCACAGAATCTCTGTAAGGCACAAACTTATTTTTGCCCTTTCCTCCCACTTGGTCCGCTAATGCAGAAATAACCAAACCTAGTGTTGTAAGTGACCTGAGAAGAAAACAGAACAAAAAAAAAGAACTTACAAACCTCAGAGATATGGCTACCTTAAATGTAAAGAAAATTTGAAAGAATAAAACAAATGGTGTCTGCATTTTTGGTAAGTAACAAATTGTATCTCCCTTGTAAAGACTTATGTCTAATAATAGACAATGAAGAGCTCTTAAGTGAACATCTAATACTTCAATGTACTTAGAAATAGTGTATGAAAAGCAAAAGCATTAAAACACCTAGTGCAACACTAACGCTCTTTGTGTTGTACATATTAGCAGCCTGATTATCCAATTAAAAGAACAATAATCACTGCCTCAGTCACACCCTGTGGCAAAGGATTTTGTGTTCCAACAAATTTCAACATGAAATCAGCACTAAACTTTCTTAGTCTTTGTGTGACAATTAACTTGATGACCTTCATCACTGTTTCCCCGACCATTCGAAGCAGTATTCATTGAAGTCACTCATTCAATTTGAGTCAGAAGTCTGTTCTTCCAGGAACCTCATGGTCTTGAGGTAACATAATCACCTCATCTCAAAGACAATTTACAGGAATGTGTGCAGTTATGAAAAGGTAGGATTGAAAACAAAATCAAACTAATGACATCACATGGTCAGGCAGAATGAGCATTCTTGACTGTATTAGAATGCAAAGGACTTGAGAAATAACAGTTATCCAGAGTTCTGCTGGTAGTTTCTTTTCCTGTGCTAAATGAAAATGTTGCCCTGTTACCTTAGCTGAACTGTCAATGCTATTAGATTTTGGTTAACACAAGAGGAACTGTTGTAGGTTTCGTACAGTGCACATAACTCCGTCTCTTGTCTGATCGCATGAAGGAAAGCAGGTGAATAGGTTCTTTGGATCAATATAATCACAATTTAAAATTAAAATTATCCATCATCTGCATCAATTACTATGATCAATGGAAAAACTGGATATGGTACCTGCACTTATCTCAAACTAAAACATGCTGTAGGACCATTTTAATCAAGTACTGAAAGCTGCCATCATGATTGAGGTATTAATCTGAATTCAGTTGCTGTCCCCTTGAGAAAGCTTAAAAAAAATCAATATCAAATATGGCTATCAATGTCAAGAAATGAAAGAAATCCTATTATGATTCTGACTCCAGCATCGGCAGTTCTTACTACCTGTCTAATCAATTTTTATTTTGTGTGAAAATATGGCAATGGTATACAAACAGCAAGTGATTATACTAAATCATTATCCATTGGGGATAGGGCACAGAACTTCCCGTGGATAATAAAAACACAGATACTGCTCCTATATAACTCCCCTATCTACTGCAGAGGACTGTGTGATCCAATCAGATGAGAGGATGACCTCATGAGTATGTGAATCCACAGGCAGCAAATTCACAGATAAGGAGTAGAGTGCAATAGCTAATAGTCTGCTTTTGTGATGCTGATTAAGGGGAAAATGTCGGAGAAACTGAAAAGAGAACATCCCACTGTTCAATAAAAAGTGATCAATTGTATCCACCTGTACAGCAGCCAGGGCCTCAATTTAACGTCACATGTAAAATAAGACGTCACTGACAGAGCAGCTGCAGTACATCAGTACTGCAGCCAAAAGTCAATTTAGATGGAGTCAAATTTTTGAATGGAGTGTAACCCTTAACCTGCTGACAGTTAGCAAGCCACCAAATCAGGCAAATGGAATTGAAATTGGGGAGCATAAGCTTTAAAATATCCATCTCCCTCACCTTGACTGAAGTTATCTTTTTTGATATCAGAAAGTTATTCAGATATCTTGAGTTACACTGTTTCTTACTTGTTAATGTTACTGCCCTCCTTCAAACGTTCGCCTGCAGCTCCCGTCTTAGAAACTCTCTCACTTCCAGCCAGATCTACGAGGCTCAACTTACTTACTTTCTCTCCAGAAGTCTAGAAATTGGGAAATAGTAAGTGGATAATCAAATCTGTAACAAATATAAACTGAAAATGATTTTGGATCATTCAAGCAATCATGTCAGACTATGCGATTCTCACGTCACAGCAAGGGGACACAGACTTACGCCACTTTGGAGATCACAAAGTGTCTGAGTTAAGGTGATGCTGAACACAGCATGAGAACGGCTACTTTCTTCATTCATGTTGGTGGCAGCAACTGTTCGCGATTTGTTTCCTTCGGACATTAGGGATTCAATATCCTGCAACATACCATAGATAAAATTAAACAATAATGAAGCCATCATCATCCAGAGGTCAAATATGCCTTTTTGGCAAACTTTAAAAATCATTTCAACTGCCAAACCACTTCATTTTTCTATCCCAGGAAAGGAATGCCGAGAGAAATACAATAGTAAAATATCCAAATAAAGTAAAAGCGAGTTGCAACACAATGTCAAAGTGTGAGAGTGGATTATAAACATGATCAGTTTCTCCAAAAATATTGGATTAGAATATAAAGTCATAAATTTGAAGGCAGCTCAAACATTAACTCGCTTAGAATGAAGGAAACGGGACATATTCTGTTTATCCAAATGTCTGGATATCTATATTCGAAATCTGGAATAGCTTCTAAAATGACTGTGCAATTTTTGATTCGTTGTACAAGATTAAAGGTACTGAAAGAACTAATGCTGTAGGTGCAATAAGCTCTATCTGAATTTGATGATGCCAGAGAGACTCTGGCTGGAGAATCAGTCGTCAGTCTTGCACATGATCCCAAAGAGATCAGAAATGACATACCTGGCTCCTGATAGTCTTAAGTAATTATAACTGACTAGTCATCATAATTTGCACTAATTGCTACATGCAATAGTACTTGTCCTCTGAGGCAAATGTCTCTTCTTCTTAAGATCTACCAGTGGTTTATCCCTCACCACTAATCAATAAGAAGCCAGGCCTCTAGACTCAGCATAAAAGAGGATTAGCGTTACAGTGATAGCGTCCCCACCTCTGGACCAGAAATCCTGGATTCAAAGTCCAATTTGGTCCAGAAGACCTTACAAGTTGATTAATAATATCTGAGAGAGGATTAAAAAGACTCATACGGTGCACAGGTGGTCCACCTGCTCCAGAGATGCATCATAACATCTCTGAAGAGGTTAATTTGAAAATATCTAAAAAAATTGGCTCAGTGGCAAATAGAGGGTAAATGTAGATTGGCATAGTGGTAATGTCACTGGGCTAGCAATCCATAGCACCGGGTTAATCTTTTGAAGGATATGTGCCACAGTGGGTGTGTCCCTACCTCTAAGCCAGAAGGACCAGGTTCAAGTTGCACCTGCTCCAGACAACAGTCATAACATGTCTGCACATGTTGATTATCAATAACTACAGGAGGATTGGTTCAGGGCTCGTAGAGCAATGGTAGTGTCAGTATCTCTGAGCCAGGCAGCATGGGTTCAAATTCCACGTGCTCCAGAAGTGTTTCATATCATGTCTAAATAGGTTGATTAAACACAAAGGGCTCTGGTGACACAGTGGTAGCATCCCCACTTCTAGACCAGAAAGGCCAAGCTCAAGTCCCACCTGCTATGGAAGTGAGTCATAAAATAACCAAACAGATTGATTAAATATATCTAAAAAAATCTAAAAGGAGGATTAGTTCAGGACTCTTGTGAAGTAGTGGTAGTGTCCCTACATCTGAGCCAGGAGGCTAGAGTTCAAGTCTGATGTGCCAGAGGCTTTTAATAACACAACTGAACAGGTTGACAGATAGTCATTTCTTACCTGTTTGGCACGCCATCTCCAATCTTTATAAATGTCACGTGATCCACTATTTGAAGGAGGATTAGCCATATGTCAAATACTTTCATTTGCAGCCCTGATTTAGTTATCTTTAAAGGGGCTGCATTCAAATTTTTGGTTGCATATCAGTCCCACACTCCTAATCTATGGGTACTTCTGCGGTGTAGTAACTGGGGACATTGGGAGGCCTTCTTGTGTTCCTGGCCAAACAGCCCATTCATAGGTCCAGGCAGTGAGCTAAGGGTGTGGTCGAGTGTAGGACCAAACTGCTAGTCCCTCTTTCATGGTTAAATCCATGCTCGAGTGTCCATTGAGAAACAGCTTGCGGTATTCACCTGCATAATAGAGGTCTTTAGGGACTGGTGGGATCTGCATGGGCTGGGGTGCATCATTACTCCAATAACAGATTTTTGACTTTATTTTCTTAAGTTTCCATTGCAGTATCTGAAATTTTAATTGACTGTTTCAATCAGTCTTTGTTGCAGTGCTCCACTGGGCACTGTCCAACTTGTTTAAGTTTTGGAAACCTGAGTTGCATGAAGCCAATTAATTAGTTAATCCTAGCAGATGTGGTGCATTCTTGAACTGATAACTTCCAAATCACACAGGGAGCACTAGTCATGTAGCATTTCAAAAAACTGAAATGCTGATGTTGTTTGAATTTAATCATGAATCATTTCATATTCAGGCCAAAAGGTGTAGCGTTTAACGCACATACTTACTTCAAAACAAGTAACAGCCAGCTGCGACAAGCCATCTACATATGGGCCCAATACTTTATGCTCTCTAACTTTCAAAGTGTGCCGACTCCTAAGAAAGAAAATTATTTTAAATAATTAAAAATGAGATCAATAATTTAGTGTTAAGTGAGAACAATTTAGTACTCAGAGGTTTAAAAAAAAACTTTGAAAGCTTATGGCATTTGTAATGTCAGTTGAAAACAACTCTCAGATTTTGACAAGTAAAATCTAGACCCCACATTGTAGAGAAGTGAGAAGGAGCATAGCAAGAGAAAGAAACATGGTCAGTATACTTTAACAGGTACTTCAGCGGTCAATCACTTGCTGTCAGCCACTCTGAAGTCATTTTAAGGAGAGAACCCAAAAGTGAAAGACTCTATAAACATAAAAAGGGTGAGTTGAGAGGGGTGGCACACAGCATTAGTGAGAGATCACAAACTGAACCAAGGTAAAACAGTGAAATGTTATGTGAAAAACAACAGTCTCAGTGAAAAGTTAATTAAGATCATATGATGCCCAGCATCAATGGTCATTTAATGCTTCCTATTTCTTATTTCTTATGTAGAATCTGTACCCAGATTGATGAGCATGATTAAGGAGGCATGACGTTCACCACAAGGCATTTGGGAACTAAGTGAATGGGACAAGAAAGTGTGTGTGTCTGGATTCTGAAAATAAACCATGCAAGACCTGAACATGTGCAAGTTAGGTTGGTGAATTCGGGTATAGGAAGTGACAACGAAAGAGAGGGAAAGTAAAACTGAGAAACAGTGAGACCAAGAAACATTAGAAACAGTTAAACTAAAACATCTTCAGTGAACAATTAAACTGTGAAGAAATGAAACTACAGTAATAATTAATTTTGAGGAACAGAGAGCTTACCTGGTAGTAATTGATCGCACCAATAGAAAGAGAATACTTGGATTCAAAATGACAACTTTCTCACGATTTGACTTGGTATCAACTATTCAAGTGCAGGTACAAAATGTCATGTTGGCAATGCACTTGAATAGCAAGGCAGACAGCAAGATGCTCTTTTTGCAGAGCTAATGGCAGAGAGTGCAACTCAAGTAGCAATTTCTTAATTCCCACATTTAATCATTGCCTGAAGTCAATGTGACATCTCTACATATGATGTGGAGGTGCCATTGTTGGACTGGGATGGACAAGGTCAGAAGTCACATGACACCAGGTTATAGTCCAACAGGTTTATTTGAAATCACGAGCTGTCGAAGTGCTGCCCTTTCACCAGGTGAAATGACAAAGGGGCAGTGCTCTGACCAGGTGTCAGATGACTTCTGACCACATCTCTATGTAAATAAGGCTTAATAAGACTATTAGGTTCGTCATTCCTTGAAGCATTTCTTTGGGCCTATGTGTTGTATTTTTAAATTCACTCATAGGATGTGGATGTCACTGGCTGGGCCAACATTAGTTAGCCATCACTAGCTGCCACTCAGAGGATGGCTATGAGCTGCTTTCTTAAACCATTGCAGTCCACCCACAGTGCTGTCAGGACAGAGTGTTCCAGGGTTTTGACCCAACAACACTGATGGAAGCACAATGTATTTCCAAGTCAGAACAGTGTGTGGCTCGGTTGGAACCTGCAGGTGGTGGTGTTTCCCAGTACCTATTGTCCTTGTTCTTCTGGATGGTTGTGGCTGTAGGTTTGGACGATGATCAGGAACCTTGGTGAATTTCTACAGTGTATCTTTACATGGTACGCATTATTGCTACTGAATGTTGGTGGTGGGGGATTGAATGTTTGTGGATGTGGTACTAATCAAGTGGGCTGCTTTGTCCTGGTTGGGGTCAAGCTGCTCGAGTGTTATTGGAACTATGCTAAAGAAGCTTATTAGTCTATTTTGGACGATGCAGCTACACAGCAAATCAAACAATTTGAATTTGCGCTCATTTGCGCTACAACGAAGCAGCATATCTGTATTCCTCCATTAGGAATATTTATGTTCTCTCAAAAAAATTTGCATAAACCACCACGCAACAGCCACCGTTGCTCAATAAAGTTTCATTCACTACATAAGAATAATTTCACTGCTATAATATGGCTACAAAAATGCTACTTATTTGTAAATACTTCAAAAGAAGAACACTACTTAAATTACTACATCAGATATGAAACTTTCAGTGTAACTGCTTTCATCACCACTTCAAGATTACTTCAAAATGAACAGTTTCACCAGTCTGCAGATCGAACACATCAATTTTCATCATGTACCGAGCCCCCAGACCACCCAATGCACACAGTAATTACTGTGAGTAATTTGGCAAAAATAAGCACACTTCCTCCATAAACGATACAGAGAAGGCAAAAAGGAAGCCAAAACTTCCGGCAGCAAAAATACAGATTTCCACAATAAAAGCAGCAATTTTGGATGAACCCACGCACCAGGCTAGATTAAAAGGCACAAATGTTACATTCAAATTTATTCTCCTTCTGCTTATCCAGAAAAGCAAATTAAATCTAATGTCTGGAAAGTAACTTGGATATTTCTACTCTATCACTGTGTCTTACTTCAGCTGACTAATGTATTTGCAAAACCTGACAGCATGCAAACATCATGTTCTGCCAACCGGGCAATGATGTAGATAAACTGGGCTCTACCACTGTAAATTTTCACTCGCAGGGAGAAGGGTATGGGTTAGTGAACCATACTTACACTCCAGACCTGATGGCTCCATTGCAGGGTTGGTTGGCACCCCCTTAGATCCCACAATTTTCATGAGATTGGGTGAGTTTCTCCATGACTGATTGTTCACAGAGGTGTAATTAACCACAGCCTAATTGGAGAAACTTTTGAAAAGGAAGGTCAAAAAGCCTTCCTTACCTATATAGTCCCATGCCAACTCATGCATAATGAAGTTTGTTGAGACCCCATAACAGTATTATCTCCACTGAAACAGATATAGAAAGATGGCAACTCTGCATGTTTGACAATTTTATGACAATATACACTATTTTCTTCTGTGATCCATTTTGTCAAAGACTGAAGGTTTACTTACACAACATAAAGAGGTCCCAAATGCTTCTCCAGTCTGTTGCTGATATTTCAAAAGTCTGGCTGTTTGATGCATTTATGGGCTGTAGCAGGAGTTTCAGCTAAGAAAATTATTTTTAGGTAGGTCCAAACATGCCATTGTTAGGATTCACTGATTCTGTACTGTGTGAACAGGCATGGGAGCACCACGAATTGGCACAGAGATAGCACAGGGAGTTAACAAGGTGTAGAGCTGGATGAACACAGCAGGCCAAGCAGCATCATAGGAGCAGGAATGCTGACTTTTCAGGCCTAGACCCTTCTTCAGCCTTTCTGCTCCTATGATGCTGCTTGGCTTGCTGTGTTCATCCAGCTCTGCACCTTGTTGTCTCGGATTCTCCAGCATCTGCAGTTCCTACTATCTCTGGGTACCTTGAACAGTTTGTCTTGGTACTTGACCATCCTGTGGCCACCTTCGATCTGTTTCTGGGGGGCAGTAAGTTAAACTCCAACCCACATCGACCCCATCCCCGGAAAGCAAAAATCAGATCGGATGGGATACTTCGTACTGGAGTGGATCTGCCAAGTTGGGAAATTTTCAGATTTGTGATACCCGCCTCAGAAGCAAGAATCTGGCTCAAAGAGAAGGAGGAAGGAAAATGAAGGAGATTTCAAAGGAAAATTTGGGAAAAGGGTGGGGGGGGAAGGCTACAAAGGAACACAAAAGAACGCAAGAGATATAGATATCTGGATGGAATTAGGCACTGATAAGAATAGTGCAACCCACCTCTTTCATCCATAGTTTAGAGACAGAGAGAGAGAGGCCCACAGAGGTAATTGGGAGGAAGGGGCAAGTATTAAAATGAAGAGACACAGATTGGCATAGGTAATAGGAACACATTTCAGGAGACAAAATCGGTTGGAGGCAGACAGAAAAACTTCCAAAAGGTGACAGGGGAAAATATTGCAGGAGAGATGTAGGGTGGTAGGGAAAAAAAAGAGTATGAAACACATTTTTTAGGAAGCAATAATACATGCCTACAGATTCTCGATAGTACATGTATCATCAAGTAGGTGTCTACCACCTCTTTAATCTTGGCTCCAGCTTTTCCCCTCCTCTTTCCATGCATTTCCTTATATCGTTCCAAACTATTCAACTGGTGTCATTCATTCTCCTTCAAAACAAATCACCCATATACAGGAAACCTTTTTGCAAGCTGAATCTATTGGGAGGAGTCAGTGACGTGGACTGGACCAGTGATCCAGAATCCTAGACTAATATTTTGTGGACATAGGTTCAAATCCCACCTTAGCAGATTCTGAAATTTTAATTCAATAAAAACCTGGAATTAAAAGCTAGCCTAATGGCTACCATGTAATCATTGTCAATTGTCACAAACGCCCATCTGGTTCATTAATGTCCTTTAGGAAAGGAAATCTGCCATCCTTACTTAGTCTGGGTGATGTGACTCCAGAACCACACCAATGTAGTTGGGTTTTAGCTGCCACCTGGGCAGTTAGGAATGGGTAATTAATACGGGTTTAGCCAGTGACATCCTCAGCCCATAACTGGGGGGAAAAAAAAAGTCCCACATCTACATCTCTACCATAAAACGTCACTAACAAGGCTGCCAAATAACAATCTAGACTAGGGACAAGAATCAAGTATTCAAAAGATTATGCCACTAAATCTAAAACATCTGGAGTTACTTTATGCCAAATTATATTTAAGTTTTGTCAATCTTGACCTTGGAGTGCTTTAGTCAGTTGATTTTGGTTTGAACCACTGTCCATATTGGCCACTGCGATAATGAAAAGGTTTTGACAGACCTGCACAGGAAATAATTTGGAATTTTTAAATATAATTTTAATCTTAACCTACTTCAATCTCCACTGAAAGCAGCTAGAATTCCAGACTTAAAAACGAATCAAACAAGAGTGACTGGACGACTCAAAAAAGTGTGTACTTAACAGCTGCACTCTGTTCTAGCCACCCACATTTGAAATTCCACCGAGAATAATTCTGACTGGATTATTCTACAAGTAACTACTGTGGACTTGATGGACTGAATGA